ATTAAAACAGGTCCGTTCAATGAATTAGATTCCAGGCGGTTTTTCGATTGAAGTGCTGTAGGTATTAATGTGGCTCTTTTCAGTGAAGAAGGAATTTAGACGTTGTCCTCTTGCGGTGTAGGTACATATATATATATATTTAAACTTATATTATGAGCCACTTCTGAACATTAGAAGCCATTCACGTGGCAAGTGCCTCCCAAATATGTGGTTTTGAGTGGGACCTACAAGCTACTCATACTTATAGGACACATGCATGCAGTATATATATATCAGCGTGTGTGCTGTCTCATACACACCAGTTTAAACTTATATATATACATATGTACATATATGTAGAAAACGGTCTTTGATCGTACGAGTTTGAATTTTATTATGGAAAGTGTAATCGGTATGCGTCTCGAGTACTTTAATGTACTAAACCCACAGTTAACTTGAAGGAATTACAATTATTTGCTGACGTCACTGTTACAGATAAGGTTTTGTTGGGAGGCTGTATATGGTCCAATGATATGTAAATGAGACCTAATAGGTGAAAATATCGTGCCAGCATTCAAAAGGGTGGTTTTAGATCGCCGAGATATCCCAATAGTAAGTCAAATGTATTGTTGTTCTCAAATGTTCTTCTTTCTCCACTGTCCCTGATCACATGCCTGGTTAGCTCAATCACGGGCTTAAATTAATCTTTAAGTAAGCCCGTGGCTTAGTTAGAAAAAATAAGTAACATTCTTATATTTTCTTAAAATATTTTTTGTGTTTTCAGCTGAATGATACGTGTTCATGACCACGAATGTTTATCGGAAATACTACGGCATCAAACGATCTGCGATAGCTCGACTTAAGCTGACAATACTGGGAACAGATGAAACCTTATCCTACCTTACAAACATATGGCAATTTATCACTATTGTCAACCAAAATCCCACTAGGTATAAATCTATGTTGAAAACATCAAAAGACTGCAAAATGTTACAGTGATGCGATAGCGTGTAACATTATTCTTGTAAGAACTTCAATTTGATACGGACATTTTGCTTGTACTAAACATTTCCCACCTAGAATCACTGAGCTCAGTGCTAAATAGTTAAAGTCATATTTCACTATTGTACTCGTGGGTGCTAAAATTATATGATTGCTGATCACTTCAATGGTGTGTTAGAGCCACGCGAATTACAGAAACATGATATGCCAATGTGCTGTCCGAAGTTATTCGGTTTTTTTTTAACAAATCGTGTACACAAGAGACACACTGCTTATTAACACGATGTTGTATATAGAGTATGGTATTGACTTACGCTCGTGATTGTTATCAAAAGTGATGGTATTTATTTACTTTCGATCTTGTTTGTTATTAAATTTATTGGCTCGCGATCTTGTTTGTTATCAGCTGAAATTGATGGTGTATGAGAGTTACACATTTTTTTTACTTATGATCTTGTGTGTTATCAACCAGGGCAACACAAGTTATTAGATCTTGTAATGGTGTAATGACTCACGACATTGTTCATTATTGGAGAATGGTGCACATTAGCCACAAAACATATTAATCCAGACAGTTACTGATAAAGAATTTAAACAAAAGCGCAGAATAAATTAATGTAACAGCTCTCTGTCTAGTATTCTTTTGTTAAAAATGTCCGTTTTAAGGTCATACTGGACACAGTTTTGTGCTCATTTTTAAAGTGCGATGTGTTATACTAAAGCACATTGTTGTTGTAACCTTGAGCGAATGTGTCACACCAAAAGCTTCCGTCTGGTCAAAAAATAAAACAAGGATGTTAGCTTATACAGCACCCTCCAAGATTTCATTTTATCAATTTTCTCAAGTTCAGTTTGAAGTAGTGTAGAATAAAGAGACTGTTCAATTCTATATCAAACAGCTTAATACACTGAGATAACCAGGTGTCTGTAACTGGCCTCAAGGGTTCCGGGACTGTACACTGTACGCTGACTCATCAAGGCTTCTAGTAGAGGTTACGGAGCTGATAATACGTTCTCTCAAACAACAACGTCCCATCGCACAACTCCCTCTCACAACTACTTCCCTCTCACAACACCCATCCCTCTGACAACAACAGATCCCTTCTCACAACAACGTCCCCTCTCACAACAACCACCTCTCCAACAACAGCGTTCCCGTTCACAACAATCGCCCATCTCACAACAGCCGCCACTCTCCCATAACAACTGCCCCCTTCCACAACAAATGCCCCCTCTCACAAAAACCGACTCCTTCTCACAACAACCCATCCCTCTCACAACAACGTCTCCCCTCTCACAACAATCGCCCTCTCCCACAACAACTGCCTCCCTCATAACAACCGTCCCTCTCACCAACAACTGCCCTACTCACAACATCACAACAACCGCCCCCTCTCACAACAACCGCAGCCCCCCCCCCCCACACACACACACTTACAACAACCGACCCTTCTCACAACACACAAGTGCTCACTATTGTCCCAAAGTACGCGGACATCTGGAATGAACTGCAATTTTCTATCTTTTTAATGCACTCATTTAATTACCTAACACATGATAAAATCATATTCCCTATCACAACACCTCGATCAAAAATGTTTAGTCCCGTCACCCGACACATCATCCATTATTGGTGCTAAAGCACCATACACATGAACGATTTAACTTGTGAAGGGCGTGAATTACAGCGCCTCCCGGTAGTTACACTAACTAGTTACGTAACTAGAGACCAGTTTAAGTTAAATACATAATTTGAATACATGACTAGTCAAATCGAATTATATACAACACACTCTCTATCGTCATTTCAGTACTATTTCAATCATGGAACCATTTTCTGTTTATCAGTCATGATTTCAAACAACATTGATCATTTCAGGAGTGGTATAGAACAAAATATAGGCCTATAACAGTATTATTCCACTCATAATGTTTACGTTTCAACGTCACTGTCTTTTATCGCTGTCCAAAATAAACAATTACAAGACGTGCTATCAACGTCAGATTGACCATATCTCAATCCTTATAACAATTTCTGAGCGAGACAAATTTCAACACGATAAATCAAACGAGCCTTTTTACGTTATCCCGACCTCTTTGTAACAAACTAATGCCACCACAGGCTAGACTTTACCGGACAATGGACGAGAGAGTATTAGGTATACCAAGATAGGTACAGGTTTATCAAGGTTATCGAGGTAATGTGAGACGACAGAACCTGATTAAGAGCCATGGTTACGTCACAAGTCGACTGGTCAGTCCATGAAATCTAACTTCTTTTGGAAAAAAATATCATTGTTAAAGTATCAACGAGTAAACAAAATTGTACCACCTTTTGTTATTTCCACGTGACACTTACCAGAAAGTTGAAAAATGGTGACACTACTACATGACATAGGTTACAATATAACGATTATCCTAGACAGTTGATACAGTGTAACAATTACACCAGACACTGTTACAGTGTACCAATTACACCAGACAGTTGATACAGTGTAACAATAATACCCGACAGTTGTGACAGTGTAACAATTACACCAGACACTGTTAGAGTGTAACAATTACACCAGACACTGTTACAATGTCAAAATTACACCAGACAGTTGTTACAGTGTAACAATTACACCAGACAGTTGATACAGTGTAACAATTACACCAGACACTGTTAGAGTGTCACAATTACATCAGACAGTTGTTATAGTGTAACAATTACACCAGACACTGTTAGAGTGTAACAATTACACCAGACAGTTGATACAGTGTAACAATTACACCAGACACTGTTACAGTGTAACAATTACACCAGACAGTTGATACAGTGTAACAATAATACCCGACAGTTGTGACAGTGTAAAAATTACACCAGACAGCTGTCACAGTGTACCAATTACACCAGACACTGTTACAGTGTAACAATTACACCAGACACTGTTACAGTGTAACAATTACACCAGACAATTATTATAGTGTCACAATTACACCAGACACTGTTACAATGTAACAATTACACCAGACACTGTTACAGTGTAACAATTACACCAGACACTGTTACAATGTAACAATTACACCAGACACTGTTACAGTGTAACAATTACACCAGACAATTATTATAGTGTCACAATTACACCAGACAGTTGTTACAGTGTAACAATTACACCAGACAGCTGTCACAGTGTACCAATTACACCAGACACTGTTAGAGTGTAACAATTACACCAGACACTGTTGGAGTGTAACAATTACACCAGACAGCTGTCACAGTGTAACAATTACACCAGACAGTTGATACAGTATAACAATTACACCAGACAGTTGATACAGTGTAACAATTACACCAGACAGTTGATACAGTGTAACAATAATACTCGACAGTTGTGAGTGTAACAATTACACCAGACACTGTTACAGTGTTACAATTACACCAGACACTGTTACAGTGTAACAATTACACCAGACAGTTGTTAGAGTGTAACAATAATACTGGACAGTTGTTACAGTGTAATAATTACACCAGACACTGTTACAGTGTTACAATTACACCAGACAGCTGTCACAGTGTACCAATTACACCAGACACTGTTACAGTGTTACAATTACACCAGACACTGTTACAGTGTAATAATTACACCAGACAGTTGATACAGTGTAACAATTACACCAGACAGTTGTGACAGTGTAACAATTACACCAGACACTGTTACAGTGTAACAATTACACCAGACACTGTTACAGTGTAACAATTACACCAGACACTAATAGAGTGTAACAATTACACCAGACAGCTGTCACAGTGTAATAATTAAACCATATATATTTTTTACGGTTTAACAATTGCACCAAATAATAATTTCACCACACAGTTTTCACTGTGTAACAAAAAACGTAAAAAAACTTATACACTGTAACAATTACAACAGACATTAGAGACAATGTAACAATTACACCAGACAGTTGTCACAGCGTAACACTTTAACCATGATACCATCTCTTGCTGGTAGATTAAAAGATCCTGTACTTACCATCACTGGTATATGAGGTGTAACTGTTATCTTCCGAACTGTCATCCATATCAGACAATTCCCCAGCAGTTATGTAGATGTCCTCTTTGTCATCAGAAAATTCGCCCAGTTTGTCTTCGATATGTTTTCTTTTTCTCTGCCGACAACGCCGCGGTGACAAATCCTTCTCGCACACACCCGTAGCTTTGTCACAACACGATCTTCGTTGCTTGTCTGAATGGCGATCCCCGCCCCTCAGTCTGAAAACACACCACACGTCTTGTGATGAGAAATGGGAAGCACCCGGCGATTTGTGATCATGTCTCCTGGAGTCTTTACGACCCGCTGAACGGCCCATTGTAATGTAGTATATCACTTATCCGACAACAATGGTACAATATGGTTTTCAAGAGATAATGACAGATTTCAAATGATTTCAACACATGATTCCACCTAATTGTAGTGCCTACAGGCAATCAACATGTATTTGTTGTCTTTTAGTAAGCATTAATTCTATGGAGTTATTTGAAATCCGCTGTGATCACTATTTAATCAGTATTCAGTGACTTTAAGACACTGACTTCATTAAAGTTTTGTAAAAAACTGAAATCCACTTTTGGATTTTGCCATTTCACTGACGATTTCTAACACACCATTTCCTCCATAACACTTCCTCTTGGGTAATTATATCCTAACACTGAACAAGTGATTTTGTCCATTGATGTTAGATGTTGAGAAATACGATATCACAGGGTTTGTTGTGTTGCTCGATTTTCTGTGAAATCCAAGGTTGAATTGGGAAAGGAAGCTGTCCTGAGCTCTGAAGCTGCGTAGTAATCAGCTAGTATCCTGTACTTAGGACCACTCGTTTGGCAGCAGAAACGACAATGAATTCCAGCAGATATCATCATGAATATTATATTTAAACTTCAAACACTGAAATGTTGAAAAAAATCACCGTATGGTGTAAGATTGAGAATCCTTGTTCATGTATGTCGTACATTATGAACCCAGATCCAATGTGTATATTGGTTAGAAAGATTGCGACGCCTGGTAGTCTGTGTGTTACTTGTATAGCCGGGATGCTGGATGTGTTGCTATTGGATATAAACAGAAACCTGATTAGCAGCCAAACAAACCATCATATACATAGAACATACTGCTCCCGTAATACTGGTGTCAGGAATGTGTTGAGATGAGTCACACTCTACAGACAAGTCTCTAACTTTCACATTTCAGTGCTCGAAGACTTTCTATTGCCCATGTAACTGCTGTAACGTATTACAATACAGCCACACCAATTCTCGCTCACAGTTTCTCAACACGCGGTTTGTTCATAAGTTCCCATATCCGATAACAGCTTGATACGTCATTACTGGTTACAACCCATATGTTCCATCACCCTTCAGATCCCTAATCCTATAGTTCTCCCAAACCTTGTTGCACACTTTACCCAGTCTTTCTGTTCTCCAGTCACTTGTAATAAACTTGAACCCTTCCTTCAGTTCTCCCAATCCTTGTTATCTATCTCAACCACTCCTTCAGTTCCTCCTTTTCACACAGCTGTTCTCTCCTACAGTCCCCTAATCCCTATATGACCACACAATATATCTCTACTTAGTTCTCCAATGCCTTTTTACGCATAGTTATCTCCTCCTTCAGATCCCCAATGTCTTTTCACAGTCGACCCCTCCTTCAGTTACCCAATATCTTTTCACAGTCGACCATTTCTTCGGTTTCCCAATGTTTTTCACAAAGTCAATCTCTCTTCAGTTCCCCAATGTCTTTTCACACAGTCGACCCCTCCGTCGGTTACCCAATGTCTTTTCACAGTCGACCCCTCTTTCAGTTTCCCATTGTCTTTTCACAGTCGAACCCCCCTTCAGTTTCCCAATGTCTTTTCACACAGTTGTCACCTCCTTCGGTTTCCCAATGTTTTTTTCACACAGTCGAACCTCCTCCAGTTCCCCAATGTTTTTTTCACACAGTCGATCCATCCTCCAGTTCCCCAATGTCTTTATACACAGTCGACCCCTCCTCCAGTTAACCAATGTCTTTATACACAGTCGACCCCTCCTTCAGTTTCTCAATGTCTTTTCACACAGTCGAACCCTCCTTCAGTTTCCCAATGTCTTTTCACACAGTCGAACCCTCCTTCGGTTCCCCAATGTCTTTATACACAGTCGACCCCTCCTTCAGTTTCCTAATGTCTTTTCACACAGTAGAACCCTCCTTCAGTTTTCCAATGTCTTTTCACACAGTCGAACCCTCCTTCAGTTCCCCAATGTCTTTATACACAGTCGACCCCTCCTTCAGTTTCCCAATGTCTTTTCACACAGTCGAACCCTCCTTCAGTTTCCCAATGTCTTTTCACACAGTCGAACCCTCCTTCAGTTCCCCAATGTCTTTATACACAGTCGACCCCTCCTTCAGTTTCCAAATGTCTTTTCACACAGTCGAACCCTCCTTCAGTTTCCCAATGTCTTTTCACACAGTCGAACCCTCCTTCAGTTTCCCAATGTCTTTTCACACAGTCGAGCCCTCCTTCAGTTTCCAAATGTCTTTTCACACGTGAACACCATTGTTAATTTTTTTTTTATTTTATGAATCACGCCAACATCCACCAACTTATGTACCTCTGTACCTAGGAATGACGGAAAGGTTGCATAAAGCTACGATGTAAAAAAAATTTCTCTCAAATAATAACACATTTAAAGTTCATATTGCAGTTAATACAGTTATAAACGTGAACACGCATATCAAATAATCAATAATGAAAATACCAATGGTATAATGTGCATTCGACATTTAAAACCCACACAGGTGACGAGAGAAGACTGCCTGCTGCCTCTCGCTGAGATTCGGAAGAGGTAACTAATGGTTTGACGCTACTTGCAGGTCGGGGTTGATTTTTTCCGATGCTTACTGTTAAAGATGAACCGAAGACATAAAAAGTAGGATATGCTGCATTCCACTGCATGTCCATTGGAGGCAACGATATGTTGGTCCCTCGCAGAATTGTGGGTTCTTGTAAGGGAACTTTGATATATATATATATATATATATATATATATATATATATATATATATGATATATAAATAGACCTGTTGTCCTTATTGTGGTATTGATAATTTCTTTCGTTCCTTTATTGTTTTTCCTTTTGGTGCTCTGCTTTTCATTGTTGGCATCTCTCTTGACACCCGTCCTCATATGACCTCCAGCTGTTATGATGGCTTCAAACCTCGGAAAGACAAAACCTATTGCCCGCTATTATAAAGTCATACTGCAACCTATGTTAAATGTTTAATCAAATCAACTGATTCTTTTCGATCAATCTACTTACTCTAGTAGAAATAGAGATGAAGAGAATGCTGAGTAGATGACAGTGCCTCTGTTCTTCCTGGTGTTGAGACAAAATATGTTTTTATAACACAACCAGTTGATTATAATGTGATGTTTCGATGACTACACGGTCACCTTCATCAGACAGATATATCCGAGATGGTCAGAAATCGACCAACTTTTTCGGCTGTACTATAATGCTATGAACACGAAGTCAAAATAATGTGATGAGATGGTAAACAGATTATAGACCAAAATTACACCACGTGGTAACGAAGTACTGTAGTCAATTCGGCTACGCTTTGTTTAACACTTTGTCATAGGTTATTTCCGCGCATCGCTTAGCTTATAATTGAAAATTAGCTAATATCACATAATCAATAAAAGAGGTAGTAATTCTCCAAACTGTAGGCCGATTTTTCGACTGAACCTTGCTGAAAAGTGCTTGAAACCGTGGTCTTCAAACATCTTTACCTGAAATATTGACGTTGTCACTGATACTGAAGCTGCCCTGCAACTTATCATCGCGGGCGAGAGATATACATGACTGTTTGTTGTTTGTTCATGTTTTCATCGTATTTATGTTTTCTTTGTCCAAGAGTATCAAACACTTGTGCCTAATTATGTTTCATTCAAGTTCACCTGCTTAAGTTTACCTGGGCACTTCAAATTCAAATTATCTTCAAAGCTGTTGCAATATTGGCGGAATCCCTCTAGTCCTACTCTTGCCGTCATTCTCTCGATATTACTTTTTGGTATGTTTTACAATGACAAGACCAGAGGGGTTCCGAATTGTTTCAAATATATTTTATTGTGATGATTAACAATAGGGTTGGGGATAAGTTATTACATTATATGAGTCCTTTACGAAAACATTAAATATTAATTGCAGCATTTGACAAAACAAAGAGATCATGAATCTATATATGAGTACATGAATATACATACAGAATGGTTACACTGATCTGTGAAATTAGAAAACAAATGAATTTGACTTTGATTTAAAATCTATCGCTAGATATTCATTTCCAGAGAGAAATAGGTCTAAGTTGAAAAACAAAGCTACATTTTCAAGAAAACGTCTCTGTTTTTCAGAATTGGAACAATCAAAGAAAAATAAAACATTTTCACAAATGTTTTTACATTACAAGAAAGCATGAAATCCTATTTCATAGGACTAATTTGATGTCGTAACTTTATGTGTATTATATTCAACTAACTGTCACCAAGGCCGTAGCAGATTTGGGGCTTTGGCTTTGGGTTCTATAAGATTTGAAAGCTTACGAAGATGGTGAAATTTTTATGTAACATCAAGTACCATCGAAGTGTAGATGGAAGAAAAGAACCAGTCTGTAATTCGGCAGTTTAAAATCCTGTCTCTTTCTTACCGGGTTTGAGTAGTTTCACCAACTGGCGGAGGCAACAAAATATCAAAACGTCAGACAGTAATCATAATTTCTTTCTTTTTCCTCTAAATTTTGTAGGCTGTATTAAAATATTGTTTGAATATCGACCCTTGTCAGTCAGGGTAGCTAAAATTTGGCGTTTATTCAGACTATCGACTGCGACGAAGACAAGAATAAAATCGGCAGAGCCCCTCGGACTAACTCCGAAATAGATTGAAAACAACAATATCGTAACTTTGATTTCTGCCTGTCCTCTGCTTGGTTTTATCGTAACTGTGGGCACATGAATTTTACAGACATTCTTAGGACGTTCATTTCCGATCATAGATATGGTTGTGGAAAGTGTATATCTTACGAACTTCAATCTCTTCTGAATATTAAATAAATCCGGGTCAGTTTTTTTTTTTTTTTAATTTGATAGAAAATCTGTTTAAGTACATATATATCTCCAAGTGTGATGACATCAAAGCTATGTAGTCACAGAAATCACATATAATGTTCTCGTGTTGTTACGAGGTTTTGAAGACACATTTGAGAAAGTAAAAACTTTGTAGGGACATTTAGTGAAACAATTTTTCTTGTCATTTCGTGCAAATTCAATGCAATTTAAGTGACCGTAATAGCGGGGACATGGAATGTCTCAAAAGTGATATAACAGTGTCCTTAGAACGTGGGAAGTAAATGGTAAATATGTCCCTATAACCCCCTCCTCTCTCTCTCTCCCTTACTATCTCTCTCTCCCCCCTCCCCCCTCTCTCTCCCTAATCCCTGATTTCAATGTAATGTATCTTCAATTTGTTTGTTGATTGATATTGAAATGCCTTAACCCAATCGTAAATATGTTATGTAATTACTGATCATATTGTCACATGTCAATAAAATCTGTTTAAACTTAATCAAATGGTTATATATATATATATATATATGTGTGTGTGTGTATATCATGTACAGTACTATCGATGGTACAGTCCAATATTCGCACTGAACCCTTACAAACAATGTCCGTCTGATGCGTAATAGATAGGATCAACGAAGAAATAACGGACAAACGAATGGTCAAATTTTCGAGGCAATCTGCCCCTTCATCAAGACACAAATATTACATAAATAACGTCACGTACATAGAACACAAAATAGATACAAATTTATGGAAAAAATAATAGGGACAATACGGGCAAAACATAGACAGAGACAAAGTAGGAGAAATAACAGACGGAAAATAATTTGGATTTACTGAATCACAACATAGTTTATGATGGGAGTTACTCAGTGTGATAAATAGAATCTGGTATGTGGTATCGACGGAATGGTCCAATATTAGTACTGAAACCAAAAAAATAAAATGCTCGTTGGATGCTTATTACTGGAATAGATGTATGGTTTATGATATACACATATATATACATACACACATGTGTCTGTGTGTGTGTGGGTGTGTGTGGTGTGTGTGTGTGTATGTGAAAATAAATCAATAAAATAAATTACTTTCATTAAGTATATGTAATTCCATTTACACAGATCGTGGGCATACATATGTAACAATAATTTAAAGAAGTAATTTACTAACATATGTGTATAACACACTGTAGCTTGATTGCCATGAAGCTCCGGCAAGCATATGCTTTTTGAAGATTGAACGTTATGACCGCAATTTGACCTCCAAGTAAAGTCTATTTCCAAAATATTCTAACGTTAACGCTAGGCCTAGTTGCACATTGCATACAAATAATGCCCTTGCTTGAGCCTTAGGAACAGGCTTCCGTAATGCGTAGTGTTATTGTCTCTGTGTTCATTCGTAACTTCACCTTTCAAATGATTTACCGTTGCTTTTGTCACCAGCGTTATCATACAAAAGTGTAAAAAATATATATTTTTCGTGTAGGAGACTGCAACTTGTGGCTTAATCAGAAACAAGTTATAAAAATTCAAATGAGGGTCACGTGACCCACGCTTAACCACCAGAGCGTTTTGCTCAGTAAACGCAATACATTAGAAATTATCACAAACTTATCGTTAGTTTGGCCTGATGGCAGTGGTTCAGTCATTTCAATTTCTTTTTGATTCCTATGATTTTCGGTCCGCACGCGACAAGCAAAGGGATGTTGGTCTGAGAGCTGAAAAGTTTCTGGTTGAATAAAAAACAAACACGTTGATATAAAACATGTGAAATGTTCAGATGTATGTTGAGTCGTTACACGGATCTGCACAGCAAAAGTGGCTTCCCTGTTGCCAGGGTCGCTACCACCAGTCCTATGATCTCTACGAGGTTACTGGCACAAATGTGTCCTTGATTTTGAGTTTAACTTATTTAAACAACAACATGCAATTCGTCTTCCCCCGTAAAACATAAATGATGCAGCACGACACTGCAAATTTCGGCTGAAAAAATACATTGAAAACGACAATAGAAAAAAATGACTGCAAGATCAATTTTACAAAATTTATATTGTATGATGTAGGTATTGTGCCCTCATATGTCTTGATATTGTGATATATGGGTCAAAAGAGTGAAATTACATATTTATATGAGTACTCACGAACTTTTTCAATTCTAATCGACAAATTATCTTTGGTTAGTATTGCCAACAGTTGTAGCAGTACGTGACACGTGTACACAAATCATTCAAAATGTGTCGTTTTATTCCAATGTAAAATCTGTCGTAAAATATATCAAGTTAGAATTCTTGATAACATCTTTGGTGATGTGAAATGTAGTTCGCCATGTTACGAGAAAATGAATTTCGACCTCGATAATGTCATTTTGTTCACAGACGTTGATAGATATAAGGCTCTATCACGACGATTTTTTCTAAATTTTGAAACACTAGATTTTAGTTTAAAAACACAAACACACCAGCCTTCTTCATGTATTCGACATTGTTTCTGTCAGTTGGCACCAGGTCATATTTATCACACGACTGCTGTCCAGTCTCATGTATTTTCCACTCAAGGGATCACACAATGTCGTGAAACCCAAGACTTTGGGGAGGGTTTTACCACATGTTGAGACCTCGAGGGTGAAATATCTCATCCCTCACCTGTACATATTAAAGAGTATTTTTTCTCTCGTTTCCCATCGTAATATATTGAAAAAATATCATCTTTAGACCACGTCGACATTGTTCGATTTAAACATATTTTATGGAACAATTTCAATGGGATTGGGCACAAGTTTTCCAACTTTTATCAAGCCCTTTCCCCATAAAGTTTGACAAAATACATAATGACAAGACAAAACGACAGAGAGAGAGAGAGAGAGAGAGAGAGAGAGAGAGAGAGAGAGAGAGAGAGGGGGGGTAGGAGAGAGACACAGAGAGATTAGTCATATACAATTTATGTTTTAAGTGTAAATCTGTCTCTCCTAAACCGGACATTAGTATTAGTTACACAGTTCGTCATTGAACGACATTGTTCTACCAAGGACGCCATGTTACACAAAAATCATATATCTTCATTAGACAATTCATTCACAAGTTGCCATAGAAAAAGAATGTTTCTTTCCTCGATTAAAACAAACTATGAGCAGTCACTGCAAATAACCATTTGCAAACATCTGTATATATTATATTTACGCGCACATGCTAGTATTGTATGGGTATGGGTGTAATACATGAACAGCCCACCCCGTACAGACCAGTATTACATAGGCAGAAAGGAAAATTTCCTCAAGTGATATAACTTATTGTGACGTAGACTCAGACAATTAAATGACGTCACGCCATAGATATATTATATAATTATATTTACAGCTACTTACGTAATTAACTCTACAACCAGTGTAATGCTGATAATTGTTGTTTAAAGATTTTCTTTTTGTTTTGTTAAAGTTGTCGGGGATAACCCAACATATGTGAATAGTTGTAACCATACAAAGTTTGACAGAGAATACACAATATTTGGAAATTGTTGTAACCATTCAAAGTTTGACTAAATGGAATTGATGTTATGATTATACATTTAGTGCCATGTAGTGTAATTCTTCTTCTGAGCTAAGCTGGAGCATCCTGTGGTGCTGTATAATTAATATTGAATTCGTCTATAATGATATGATTAGTGTCTTCTTGCACCCACACGCAGATTTTGAAATATTGCACATATTGACCGGAAGAAGTGTAACCTATTATCTACTTGACAAGCAGAAACAATTATAAGTTTACATACTGATTTTTGATGTATACTCTTTGTACACGCCTCCATTTACACGTAAATGTTGTGTAACTAGCATAACCTAATATGTGACCGTTTTAAATGTATGGTCTATTTTTGATGTATATGTGTTCCAAATCCCCTTGTACTTATTATTTTCGAGAGAATAAGGCGAAGATAAAAAAGATGGCGAAGCAACTTATATCTTAATAATACTCCAGTTTTGTTAATCGTCCCCGATCACCTAAACAATATTAAGAAGTTCCACTGCTAAAGTACATTAAACTGCATTTCCGCTTATTTTTCTGTCTATATTTCGCTCAATTCCTCGTTGCTTGATAAAGTTGTTACCACAGACTTCTATTCTATGTCCGTGGTGTTATATAATTGGAAATATCTTAAGGCATGTTTCAAGCGAAATTCATATTTGTTCCTTTCGATGCAAAGTGTATCGCTTAAAAACAGGCCTAAGTAGCGATAAAAGAAGTCACGTACATGATTACATCTTCTCGGTGATGTTCCGGTTTACATTACAAGTATACAGACGCCATTATCACAGACGGAACTTTACCGGTAACAGTTAAATCACCATGTCAAAGCAGAATGTATTTTTCGACATAGATATTGGTGGTTCAGCTGCTGGGAGAATTGTCATGGAGTTAAGAGGAGATGTTGTTCCCAAAACAACTGAAAACTTTCGAGCGCTTTGTACTGGCGAGAAAGGCTTTGGATTCAAGGGCTCGTCGTTTCATCGTGTTATCCCCGACTTCATGTGCCAAGGCGGAGATTTCACTCGTGGGAATGGGACCGGAGGAAAAAGTATCTACGGAGAAAAGTTTGCCGACGAAAACTTCCAGCTGAAACATACTGGCCCTGGAATTTTGTCGATGGCTAATGCCGGTCCGAACACCAACGGATCTCAGTTCTTTTTGTGCACTGCGAAAACGTCTTGGCTGGATGGAAAGCACGTGGTGTTTGGATCTGTTACAGAGGGGATGGATGTTGTGAAGAAAGTAGAAGCGGTCGGATCACAAAGTGGAGCAACATCAAAAAAAGTTATTATTAGTAATTGTGGTCAGTTATAGGAACTCTGACATTAGCAATGTGCACGGAAAACGATGAAATCGACTTTCTTCAATGACCGGCAAATATTTCTCAGGCTTTTGTTGGAACTGTTATTAACCAGCGAGTGACTTCTCTTGACTGAAAGTGCTTACTCTGTGGACTTATTTTGTTTATTTCGCGACTTTCATAATTGATCGTTGTCCATGTTTTTTCCGTTTTTTTCTCACCTAGGAACGTAACGTGTGGTGCAAGAAAACGTTAAAGCACAGGTGTCTGTAGTTAAAGTAACATGATCTATATCTCGCTGTAGCCACATAAAAAGTGTTTCTTTTTCATGTAGAAAATAAAAAAAAAGATTTGAAAACCATTGACATTTTCAAGCTTACTTTTTCCCCAAAACCATGCGTCAAGTAGAAACATGATTACTAAAATGAATTTTTGAAGTCTGCTGATTACAATTCAAATATGCCTGCTGTGAATATTTTTTTCAAACCCAAGGGATGCGTATGTTCTGCCAAATGAAGTTTGGGTAGTTGACGCTTTTACACCGATTCTTATTCTTTCTTCTGCTTTCTGCCATAAAGGTTTCTTCTGGAAAGCTTCCAATTTGGACTTTCACTAAACTTTGAGGGTTACTGATAATATTGATGGCCTCTAGATGTGCAAACAACTTCAGTTCTGTTTAACACATTAAAAATGAGAATTGGCGGAAAGGATAATTGTGGTAAATTTGTAATGGGTGGGATGTAATTGTAAATAGGAAGATTTCTATATTTTCAGGGTTTTCCATAAGAGCCGGGAGCCGGCCAATTTGACCGGTTACTTTGATCATTTGGCCGTCTACACCAATCCAATTCCGTAATAATGTTCCGTACACGACTACACGTACACGGCAGGCCTGCCTCCTACTTTCACTACACAGCCTACTACTAACAAAATTATGGAAAACCCTGATTTTTATGTTTAGTTTGGTTCATGAGTGCAATCTTTTCCTTTACATAATTGATAAATGTATCTGAACCTGGAATTGTCTTCAACCAATTCAGTTTTTCTGATATTTGATAAAATGGGTCCCACCAGCTGGAAAATTTTAGCAAATTGATAGATTTTGTCATAATAAAACATAACTGCACAACTGTGATTTGGCAGTTTTATTACATACATTGGAAGGGAATATTGAAATTTATCTTTGTTGTGATAAAATACAATCGTATTCCAGCTTGCATGTACATGTATAACTTGTGTACATGTAACAGGATTCCAATTTCATTGCATGTACACAAGTCCCCTAAACTTGGATTCCTGGTGCAGTAAAGACATTTTACATTTTGCATTGGTGCCTCCTATCAATTCTGTGAATCTGGATTGTACATCCAAGGTGTGAGAACCATAGTAAATTTTACAACTCGTTAAACATTACAGATGTTGTGTCTAATGAGATATATTTAAAAATACTTTTCGAAATTGAATGGCTAAGGGGTTATAATTGTCAGAATGACTGATGAGTAATCTGTTTCTGTAATTTTTGTAGAAAGTTTTAGGAAAGTCCTGTCGAGCAATTCCAAACTTTGAGCAAGTCTTACAGGGAAAGCAGTCCATGACTCTTAACATCTGAGCCCCAAAAATCACTGCTACTTCTTTCGTGGTCATTTGTCTTTGTACTGGAATCCCTGAATATTCAGGAAAATGTAGATGAAATTACAAGCGTTTAACAATTCACTATTTCAAACTTGCTGTCAAAATCTATCAAAACCCTATTAAGTAGTCAATAGTTTTTGAATCCAATCTAATCATCAGCAAATTTTCCAGCAAAACTAATACCTGTATTGTCAGTTTTAATATACCTGGTAGTTTTAAAAAAGTGAATGTGCCTTTGAAAAATATAATTATGTCCAACTTGTCTTTGACAACGCTACTCTGCACATGCATCCTTTTTGGTCCCATCAGGACAGAAATTCGTCGATGAATAAATTGAATATTTGACTGAAAGCCGACAATCATTCATTGATTAAATTGATGCACAAAAATGTCATTCTGATTGCCTAGAGTTACTGCCCTTTGTTTCATCTGTCGGATGGTATAGCGATTAGCTGACAGCTTATAGGGGCGGAGAATGAAAACTGTTAAATCATGAAAATTGGACATTCATGGAAAAGGTTTAGGGCCATATTTGATTTTTCAGGATTGGGACAAACTGTATCAACAACTCGAGTCGTAAATCTGAAAAATTATGGCTGCTCAATAGCTGGAAACAATATTTTTGGATTACAAATAGAGGATTATAACTCCCTCAGCTGTGGAACTTTGTTGTACAGGTATACCGGAGTCTTAAAGATTCAATAGGATTTAAGCAAGTGTTAAAATCCTGTTTTACTTCCTGATTGCTAGGAATGTAGTGCAAAATGAAATTTCGGGTCGGTAAATATTTCTTCTAGATCTAGACTAAACCACGTGTATAACAGATATATATGAAATTTTCACTCAGAATTGTTTTACAATATCTGTTTTAGTGGAGGAAGTGTATTTTAGCAACATTTTCTTGTTTGTATTTTTGAACAAATTATGTGATGAGACTTGTGTGAAGTGATATTTTTCAAGTTTGGGTCTATCCCTATAATATCATAGGGTAGTGACAGTACAATGAAAATATCTTTCTTAAATGCAGGTTATGTGGAACTTTCCAGCCAACTGTAGGTACATGTATTGAATAAGTCTACACTATAACATAAGAACTGGATCATTCGCAAAGAATTATGATATTTTTTTCTTTGGTAGAACATAAAGACCAATTAATTTGTCAGAGGCCATATCTATTTCATAAGCTTTCTGTTCTGTTGACCAGGGTATGCATGTTCATTAGTGTGTTTGCACTGGAACTTAAATTTTCTGTTGGAGGATAAAAATTCTGTACTCTTAGTACATTGCACTGATGTAAAAGGTTTTTCTTTTCAAAATGAACACAGTGAGATTTTCTCATTCCCTGCTGAAGATATTTAAAGTGACATTTGTAAATAATAAACAAACTGGAGCAGGAGGGGCAATAGAGCAAATTATTTAAAATCCTATTCCTCCAGTAGGAATGATTGAATTTTCCAAATTTGGTCTGAAGCATTATTGGGTGAAGTTTTGTATAAATAGTGGGTCTCGGCCTTCTGAGAAGGGAGTGGCAGGGCCCAATAGGGGAAATAGAGTAAATTATTGTGTCGCCTGCAGAGCTGGCGGACACTTGAGGATCACTTTGTCCATCGTCGTGCGTCGGCGTCGTCCATACTAAAGTTTTCTGGTTTTTTATGCCCCCGCCATTTATGGCCGGGGGCATATAGCGTTGCCCATGTCCGTCCGTCCCGTCCTGTCGCGTCCCGTCCCGTCGCGTCACGTCCCAAATCAGTATATACCACCTAACAACTTCATTCGGAAGGCAATTTTCATGAAACTTCATACAAATATCAAGTATGGAAAGACCTCATGCAGTGTTGAATTTCTCGGCATTCTAAAAAAAGATGGCCACCAGGGGGAGATAACTCAAAAAAGAGGAACATCATCTTATTTCTACATAATTTGGTACTTGTGGGTTTTAAGGCATAAGGAACTAATATACTCCCTCATTTTTTCCAGAGAACAAAATTCCAAATTCATGTATGTTAAATCAACTTGTCAATTTAAGTATGAAACTTAAGTTGTACATAGTTGCATACAAATTAACAAAATCATCTCTTTCGGACCTTTCACTATTATTTCACATGGGGGGTGGGGGGGGGGGGGGCGGCATTCATGTCTTACAGACATTTTCTAGTTTTTCGGTAATGATTTGAGTTATCAAAATGAAAGTTGGCATATGGCTTTTTGTTGCAAGGGTACAGATAAAGTTTGATTCTCGGCTGTCTGTGACCCTTTTTGGCAGAGTTATGCCCCTTTCAACTTAGAAATTTCCTGGGAAAATTGTTTTCTGGACATTTTTGGCTTATGCTTTGAGTTATAGAAATGAAATTTGGCATATGGCTTGTTGTTGCAAGGGTACAGATTAAGTTCGATTCCCGGCTTTCTGTTACCCTTTTTGGCAGAGTTATGCCTCTTTCAACCTAGAAAATTTCCTGGGAATATTGTTTTCCAGATATTTCCCAATTATGCTTGGAGTTAACATAATGAAATGTTGTATATGGCTTCTTGGTGGAAGATTACAGATCAAGTTCAATTCTCAGCTCTCTGAGACTCTTCCTGACCCATTGGAACTCCAATTCTTTGGGAATATTGTTTCCTGGAATTTTCTTGGTAATGCTTCGAGTTATGAAAATGCAATTTTGTATATGAGTTCTTGGTCAAAAGTTACGCACCAAGTTTGCTTCTTGGCAGTCTGTAACCCTTTTTGGCAGTGATATTTCCCTTTGAACTTGGAAAATTTCTCAGGAATATTGCTTTGCGCAGTTTTCCCTTTATGCTTTAAGTTATAGAAATGAAATTTGGTATTACAACTTTATGGTTGATCGTTGCACATCCAGTTCAATTTCTGGGTGACCGTGACACGTTATGCAGGTGACACATACAGTTCCGAGGAACTCTTGTTTATAATTATACTCCTCCTTTAAAAATGAATGGATATTTCCTGAATTTTGTCTGAAGTATTCTTTGGTGAAGCAGAATAATTTTTTTGTGAAATGGTATCAATCTTGTGTAAACAATACATGGAGGTCTAGGGTCCTAAGGCAGGAGGGGCAGGGCCAAAAGGGGGAAATTTCGCAAATTCTTTAAAAACATGTATGAATGACAGGATTCTGTGGCTATTTGGTCTAAAACATCCTAGGGTGAAGGGAAACAATTTTGTGTAAATGGTGGGTCTTGGCCTGGCCTCCTGGGGCCAGAGGGTCGGGGTTAATAGGTAAAACAGAGGAAATTCTTTAAAACTACCGGTAGGAATGGCAGGATTGTGTCATAATTTGGTCTGAAGCATCCTAGGGTGAAGTGGAACAGATTTTGCTTGAACAGTGGGTTTAGGCCCCTTGGGACATGATGAACATTGCCTTATTATTTCTACTATATGTACATATATTTTCATTGTATGGTAATCCAATCTATTTTGTGGTTTTATCCTTTGATTAAATATGATTTCATATCATTATACATTGACAGCTTCCAACGAAGATTTATATGTAACGGGTATGAAAAGTAGGCAGATGGAAACTAGAAAGTTCTATGAGGCTGTAAGTCTTACCACAAAACACAACTTTCCTGGTAACACATTCAAATTATTCAAAAATCTTATGAAACATAAATTAACTTTATCAAAAGTTTCATATATCCACGATAAAACCAACAAAAATCTTCATGTTTTCCGCAACTTTTGTCCTATTACTGGTTTCTTTTTCAAGAAAATCCATCACAGTAGTTTTATGTAAAATAAATACGTTTACCTTGCATGGACTTTACCTTTAATACACACAAATCTTCGATAAGTAAACTTTGTGAAACTGAAAGCAGCGTGTGAGGATTTTCAAAATCTAGAGGCTGGGCATAAGCATTTTATCTGGAATGACCTCATTCGAGGAAACAAGGTTTGTGATGATCGATATGTTAAAAACAATAAATCTGATCTGCCATATTGAATGACACATTTTCGAATTTAAGGGAATAATGAAAAAAAAAAAAAAAAAAAAACCAGTTTAAGAAACAATACTAATTAATGTACTGAGTAAGTAATTTTGCAATCCGTTTGCTTTAGGTTGGCATAGTTACCTCCCTTAATACGCAATATTAGTTTCACTTTCATTTTCAGTGAAGTTGCAAAAAATCTTTATCGTGCGTACGTGGAACCCCATACAAGATAAAAGGATTGTATATAACTCACCGTAATCATAGTTGATACCACATAACATTTCATCATGGGCATGTATCTGAAACCAAGTGAAATACGTTACACGCAGGAAACTATAAGTAATGTATTTCGTCAAAATACTAGGCATAAAAATTCAGAAATTGGAATAACACTCGACGAAGTTTTAATGGAAACTGCTACAATCGAAAAGATTCCGAAGATAACAGTTTGTAAAAAGGATGGACAGTGGTATAGTTTTGACAATCGCAGACTATGGATTTTCAAACAGCTAGAAAGGTACGGAAAATGTACGCAAGTTCCAGTTAAAGTATCTAAAAGATTTCATCATAAGAAATTCACAACAAAAAACGAAGGCACGTCTGTGAAGTTAAGAAGAGGTGATGCAGGAGGTAGCTACTGGAGGATTGAAGAGGAGCTACTGAATTCACGTCTCAGGTTGGCTTTATCGAGGTATCTCGTGTGTTACAGTTCTAACAAATCCAACACGCCCATATTTGCATATTACAAGAATTATTTTCGTCACATTTTCTCTATGTCGGTGCTTATTTTTTACGCGGTTAAGGCCGCTGGCAAAAGTTTCCCCCGGGTATTCTGGTTTCCTGGTACAGCGAGGCCCTATCATTCGCGGGACAATTCAGTTAAGTTGGTACAACTTGTTTCGCAATTGATGTAAAAAAATATATATATCTTTGATTTAACCATTAACTTAATACAATAAATTATTACATAATTTTTGTTACAATCTTCTATGATTATGTTCTATTTTTTCAGTGATATTACAACGACACCAACTTTTCAGGATAAGACTTCACAGAATCCCACACCGCAGATTCAAGATATCTCCCAGAAAAAGAAAGTTCAAAATCTGTCTTTCGATAGGCCTCTTCCATCAACATCGATGCATGGTATTCATTTAGAAAAGCTGATTAATTTGAATACGGATTCTTCTACCGTTTTGGATTTGTATTTATCTGTTTTGCTGAAACGTCCAAGCACAACACAAGGCAATGGGTTCGATACCGGGCTTATCAAGTCAAGGTCAACAGAAACTTCCGATGACAGGTCAGGGTCAACTTTAGACGTGTCTTGCGACGATGCTTCGTGTAATACACTTACAAGTGTTCTTTTCTAGTGTCACCAAACTCGTCTTAAATCGAATCATATGTGTGGCATAACATTTATCAACACAGGCACACGCATCAGGATAAACGTTTCTAAAAGTGATGAGACTGCCCATTGCTTGTGTCAACATAGACGTCTGAAGGCAATTTGAGATCGACTTTTGGTGAATCTCGCGATGACGTATTACAAGTGTCACTAGAGGCATCAGTTGAAGACGAGTCGGGGTCAACGTTGGAAAAGTCTCCCGCTGACGTTACGTAAACATTACATGTGTCATCCGAGACGTCTTTTCAGGAGGAGTCTGGGTCAACTAGACATGTCTTTCGGTTGAGTTACGAGTAGGATTGCATTGCACGTTTCACCACAGGCAGCTGAAGACGAGGTGACTCAAAGTTAGCCGAGTTTTATGACACATTACCATTATGTCTCCTGTTTTATCAGCTTACCTACCCCGTGGGGCCAAATGAGCATATGGCATATCGCGTCGTCCGTCCGTTCGAAAACTTTTGCTAGAAATTACTACAAGTCGTGAACAACTGGGCGGATTTCAATAATTTTGTCTTGAACATCATTGGGTGAAGGAAAATCAGTGCTCAGAAACAGTGGGTCTGACCCCCACCGCCCCCCCCCCCCCTCGGACCAGAGAAGTGGGGTCAAATAGTAGAAATAAAGCAAAACCTTTAAAATCTAATTTCAATGTAGGAATATTTAAATTCTGACCCTATTTGGTCTGAATCATCCTAGGTATGTGAAAGGAAATCAATTTTATAAAACTGTTCAGTTCTCATTCATTAGGAATGATTGAATTTCGTCCTAGCTTTGTCTGAAGCACCCATGATTGAAGGGAACTTTATTCTGTATATTTGATGCATCTGATTCTCAAAGGACAGGATAGGGATACCTTATACATGAAACGAATATAAATCTTTTAAATGTTTTTTTCATTTAGTTTAGATGAAGTAATTTCAGCGAACTAAACCAGGTGAGCGATACAGGCCCTTTGGGCCTCTTGTCATTACTGCCCGCTATGACAGACATTCTTGTATTAAGCTCGGTTGGTCGTGCTCTAACGTATCTATATTATTATATTTCTTCGTCGTATTTTGCTGCACTATTTGTTGTGTTGACAGATAAAACTGAAAAAAAAACCGACATACGAAATTCAAAAATGACCTCTCGAGTACTTTATTGAAAAAATAACAGTTGAGTTGATTGGTCAGATTTCAAGATGGCCACTTGTCCGCAGCTTGCATTTTTGCAACAAAAGGAAATCTAGCTATGAAATTTAAGAATGAACATTTTTTTTATATTCAACATTATTTGCACAATTATGATTACATGTGTAATTTAGTGGTTAATGACATAAAAACCAATTAGTTTACAAATGCAGAAAAAGATCTTTAGACAATTAATCAATATGAGATTTAACCCTGCTTTCCCATTCCATACGCATTACATGTATGTGTTATATTGTTTATAGTTTCATGGCATGGCTAAAATTATGAAATACATAATATGGTTTACTTTTACTAAAATTGAAAAAAAAAAAATGCCGTTTAAGCGAGACTATGTTGTCACATACCCGGCATCGTCGTCGTCTTCAACATTTCATTTAAAGTTTTGTGTTCAAAAGTTCACCTTTAACCAAACTTGGTATATAGCTAGATCACATAGTGATCACTTCAACATACCTATCACTAACAACATTATCCTCCAGATCTTGCGGTCCATTGACTTTGCATTTTAGCTGGGGGTGCTGAGAAACTGGATTAGTTTACGTTTTGACGAAGTCTTTACATATGTAAGTATAACTGGTGTTCCAATCAACCCAGACTTACAGTTAAATTGTGGTATGGACAGGACAGCTGAACCCATCAAATGAATTACATTTCTGGGATAAAAAGTTCATATTTTGTATCACGAGATCATGGCCATGACCCTTTTAATCAATTTCAAAATTAGTACAGAGTTATATTGAAACAAGAACTCTAAAATCCCAGGAGAGATGTCGTCTTCCTCTTGAGAAATTTGGTATTTTAGGGGAAAACCACACACATTAGTAAATTCTAGTGCATTTTGCTATTTGCTTAAAAAGTATAAATCTGAAAAATCAAGAATGACGAGACTAATATAGCTGCTTATTCACGCACAAGTGTATTCTAAGTATTGTATATCAGCCAATCCAATATTGTTATAAGGACTCTGTTATTTAATATCATTGTGTATGTTACCTATTTATTAGCGATGGCGGTCTGTTTCCTATTTGTCTTCAAAATGTTGTCTACAGTAGAAGATAAAATGTATGTTACACATTGTATTATGAATGTGTTCAAACTACGAAACGAAGTTCACGATTAAAGAATAATTTAAGAATTAAACAATACTTTTGATTTTTTTTTTCAAATGCATTGTGTCATCTTATTAAATAGTTTCTGAACAGTTACTTAATTATTATGAATATTAGATTTGGAATTGTGAATTATACATGTATGAGATATATTCTCAGGTGAAATATATATGCTTGCCAGCTTTGTCTTCATTTAACGATACATTCATTTACAAAAGGTAAGGAAATGCAGAATATTACATACAAGTATAATGTATACAGGTGTGGTGTAATGTTATTGAATTACTGAATGAAAGATATTGCTTGAAGTAAATCTTTTGTATAATATCCAGTTGCAATGACTATGTAGCTAAGATATTTAAGCTTGTAAGTCGAAAGAATGTCCAGAATTTCTAACTTAAGTTCAGTCATTTTTATCCGCGCCGGCCGTTTGTTAGCATGCGAGTTTAGCTGGAAAGATCCCGCTGTGTACAATACGATAGCAGGTTATCTAAGTTCACCTGAAGATCTTCAGGTGTCGTAGATAATACAGGAATTGAATCGGAAATGTCGCCAATTTATTTAGAACTGTTCGACTCCTCGGAAAATTTTCAAATAGTTCGATGTAAATGGCGGAAATATTCACAACATTAGAGCACCACTATTAGATAGTTAGCAGTCTACGGAAACGTACAGGAATCAAAACACAACAGATATCTCCACTTATTTTCACCATTATCAATGAAAATAATTCATAAGGATATGGGTATTCCAGTATTTAATAAATATGATATGAACATACACAGTATGTAAATCAAGAGAACAGAAGTCATTCTTATTGAATTCCTTTCGTCTTTTCAATAGTTTTCTTCGTTACCATCGTGGACTTAGATTCAGATCTGACTCTTTTGTCATATATAGATTGTACATTATCGCCTTGGACAACGGTTAGATGTCACGTCAGGAAGAATATTCCTTACTGAAATCGGACCCCCGGGATCACACTATCCAGAGTCAGTTGACCGGGCTCATTTGGGTCACGGCGAGGCAAACTGACCAATTGTCCTCCACGGCGCTTTCCAGCAAACGGGGTGCGTAACGGATCTTCTGCCGTCGGGTCCCTTCCTGTCAGTACTAGATCGTATACATGTTCAAACTCTCTGTAAATACACAAAATCGCCATGAATCACAATGTGTATTTAGTAACTCATTTAACCCAATGTTGTAATAATTGCTTGAATTTGTACGCTGTACGAATCCATTTGAAAAAAAACACCACCCAAAAACATTGCGATAATTTCCAGTAAAAGATAAGCCATTGGTATTACGTTTCCGTTATCTAAGCTTGTACATACTTAGTTTTCATATAAATGTACACTCCACTCAATGTAAATATGAAGATTGAACTACGATTTTCATGTGTTTATGGTACTATGAACGCAGTGAAACACTCGCAGGCTTTATTTCACGCTACGAGATATATACTTCATTGTAACACTTTAAAATCTAGGTGATGATATTACGGTCTTACATACAATAGCAATTAGAAGCATTTCAGTTTTACAAATATGATACATCTATACCTCTGAGTTGTAATTCCATATATTTATGTACAACAGCTTTTTCGATATAATGGAGGAAATGATATTACACCCTTTCACCGAATAGATTTTAAAAGTATTTCCATTTGTTTAAAGTTAGAATATCGTGGATACTCCACGGGTTTCGATTTTTTGCGCTATCTGTCACGCACTGGCTTTTAAATTGGGTGTCGCTCCTTTGTATTCTTCAAAGAAGCCTTTTAGCCTGTGATTGGTCACTTTGTTTCCCTGAAACCCGCTACAGACCAATCAAATTACTTCGCCTGTGTCTGCAATTTGGCCATGAAATGCTCCGGAGTGCAGAGAGCCATAGTAAGTGTAACCTCGGGAGTATTGAGGATGAACTTACAGATGACTAAAGACAATTCGTAGATAAATGTAACCAATTTCATACACGTACAGTGCAAAACGGGATAATATATACATACTTCAACAGCAAAGTTCTATGGCGTAACTCCTTGCAAATTTTTCTCAGCTCTGTCACCTGTGTCCGATTGAATTCCTCTCCACAGTTCTATTGATGCATAAAAGTGGGAGTACAAAATGTAATCCAATATGAAATAAAAAAAAGTGGATGAAATCAGATTTAAGTAAATTTTTATGTAGACTATCAAAACAACAACACAACTTGTAAAACATTTTATGACTCTAAGACATGGTGATGAAGATGCCTGTGCGTGAATGTAAAGAGGTCAAATATAACGCAGATTCAACACACAGGCCCGTTTCACGAATCTTCCTTAATTTAGGGAAAGCTTAACTACTGTAAAAACATTACTTAAATTAAAGAAAAACTCAAAGTTAATAAATTTTGTAATGCTTTTTATTGGCAATTTTAAGTTAAGGAGAATTTCGTGAGCAGTGGCCGGGTAAAAAAAACTAGCGTCATCACGCTGCAATATCACCCCCGGTCAATATTTCTCAAAGGGATTTGTTCAAATTCCCGATCCACAGTCCATTTGTATTTATTATTGTTACTATGATACATAGATATGGACTGTCGGTCGGGAATATATGACAAATCCATGTAATATTTCTTTGTCATAAGAACACAGCATGGGATATCGTAATGCTAGTTTTTCTTTGTCAACACAAAAAAATTCTACCAATACTCACTGCTGCCCTTCTATGAAACATTAACTTAAACTCGTTGGTTTTGTGTTTTGAAAGAGTCTGTGTGTAAGCTTACCCGTATTATCTCTATAATATCGTAAGTGGTATAACTCTCCTCCCTTTCCTTCTCCAGATCTGGAAACACTGTTTTGATATCAAGACCTTCCTTTATCAAAAATCTACATATTGCTGACAATACTCGAGTCAACTGATCCAGGGTTTTAGATCGACGAGATGGAGGCCGCTTGATAGAAATAACCAATCCTCGCCTCGCGTTCAAATTTTCTATGACTTCCATTAGGTCAGAGTTCACATCCGTTCCCTTTAGAAGTATATAATACGAATATTCATTAGAATTAAAAAAATCGTATCTAGAAATGGAAATTCACATTTATAGTAATATTTAAATAAACACTTGGATTTGGAGTTGTAGAGTGTGCGGGATACTATTACTTAAACCGAAGATGTAACGATTAACATTAAATATTCCATACGACCAGAAGAATGTTTAGATATACTTACATCCAACTCAAGGTAGCTGAGTTTTTTCCTGAACTTGGAGGTCAACGGTTTGAGTATCTTAAATGCTCCCTCAGCAGACAGTTGATTGTGAGATAACTAAAAAGATAGCAATTGGTTTCATATCCAAAGATCACAAAGATTAGCAGAAATATATTCTTATAAAAACAAAATGTCGTTTATCTAATACTCCGATACTCGTTTTTGTATTGTTAAGATAAATACCATAACAACGGTATAAAAATGATAAATTTTGAGAACTAAAAAAAATGTCATTAGTTGGTACATAGCTACAATTAAGTCATTAATGCTGATTGCTAAATGCATTGAATGTATACTGACAGTTCAGTAACGTTTCTACCAACCAAATGACATAAAATAAGAAAAAAATTATATATTTTAAAAGAAAGATTAAGTTTTGTGACATCAATTAAAATCCTGTAATGTACCTTGAGTGACGTGAGAGATTTGTGGTAAGGAAGCACTCTAATGATGTAATCCACAGCGGCATCGGTGATTCGATTTGCACTAAGGTCAAGGGTAGTTAGAGCCTCGTTTCCACGTAGACCCTCCATCATGACCTGGCACCCAGAATTTCCAAGGCCATTCATTGAAAGAATCAATGTCTTTAGTGTGGAGTTAACCTGCCAAAATAACAAATGTGAAGCTAATGATTGATGTTATACAACTGCAAATTGATAAATCGTAAAAACAGAAAATCTTATGAGTCGAATGATTGTACAATTGTATATGGCTATATTGCGAGAAATCACGTGGGACCACTTAAGCGAGTTTTGTTCTAATAAACATTGACATGACATCGGAACAGACAATCCGAAATACTTCACAGAACTGCTTCACTTTAAGGATACTGACTTTTTGCATCATGACAAAGCATTTAAACAACGAATTAATAGAAAAAAAATCCAAGTCTTCAGGTATCCATGTATATTTATCATTGATTTGAAATTATGAATGACAATAGACGTTCTGAGCGCTACGGGTTATCCATTATTTGTCTTTATACAAAGCAATGCACTACAGTAATGCTTATCTCAGGGCTTCATGTCATATAAACAAGCTACAGTCAAACTTCATTATTTCGAAGTTGGAAAACTTCAAGTTATCAGAGGATTCGATTTATGTGAGATCAAATGTTTTGTGAAAAGTCAGACGAAATTAAACGGGGTCTTCAGGGTAAAGGAATTCGAGATAACAAGGTTCGACATGATTTTTGACAACAGATGTTCCATGACGTTTGGAACACAAAATATGTGATAAGATATTTGATATAGAAGCTCCCCCTGGTTCCATCGCGTGGTGCAATTAAGCTTTCCAAGGGCTGAGGTGATCTGCACAATCGAATGCTGCCCAATGTTTGCCACCTAATGATTATACTACTGTTTTATTTGTTAGAATTTGTTCATATGTCGCTGTACCTTCAGAACCTGCCAATAAATGTTCATATCTTGAAATTTCAGGGTCTTAACATTTTTAGAGTTTGGATAATTCTAAATTACGGAGGTTTTAGCTGGTGAAATACTGATTAACAATGATATTTTCGTTAGCGGACATTGTTTAGTCGGAATACTATGATTTACAGTCGAATCTCGTTATCTTGAACTCGTATCACTCGAAAACCCCGTTTAATTCGAAGCATTTCATCGGATTCGAGATAACGGGTTTCTACTGTATCTCTGTTATATATTTGTATACCTTGATACCCGTTGCTATCTTGGCAGCCCCTTGTTTCCCAATCTTATTCCAGCTGAGGTCCAAGTATTCTAGTGTGACGTTAGCCTCTAAAACAATAACATATCAGTTTCTATGTAGGCCTCATTGCGTTACATGTGTAAAAATATTAAAAATTTACGAAATATCGCAAGAATGCTTATACAATATTTATACATTTAAAAAAAGATGAGAGCGAAATATTTGAAGAGATTATTTGAAAATAAGTAAAATGAAAGATTATGTTTCTCCGCGCCACCCTTAACTATTTGGACTTCTTATCAAATAAAGATGCAAGAGCCAAAAGGAAATCTAAAGTACGAATAATTGTTGAGAATGAAGGAAATCTGAGTATCGTATGGAATACTATTCGATAACAACAGGGAGATCACGCGGTCTTCTTACCTAGAGCACGTCCTATTGCTATAGCCCCAGCATCTTCGATCTTGTTTTTTCCTAGTCGTATCTCCTTCAGGTAGACATTTGTCTGCAAGGCAAATGCACATCGTCAACCACGTAAATAATGAAGTGTTAAACACATAACATGCTACTTATTTTTGTGAAGAAGACATGACAACTACTTTATAGTATAATACCGATATCTTTACTTTCTGTTGCAGTTTTAAATAAGTAATTAGATAAATAAATAAAAGCAAACAAACCTCTATAACTTCAGCAAAGTTTTCACCTCCTTGTATGCCGAAATCATTACCTAAAACAGAGAAGTCGGAGATAGGTACTCTAAAATGAAAGTATAGCTATATATAGACAGGAGCGATACGATGTCGCATATGATGTTTATTTCAAAAACGGGATTAAAAGTGAACTGTGAGAACATCTGTAGTAAAACTAGGGTGCATGTAGTTAGCTGCCCCTATAAATTGCAAGTGTTGATGACTTACCTGTTAAGTCGACCTTGACGATATGTGAGTTATTGAGTAAAATGATCTTTGAGATATGTGATCCAAAACTACCCATAGGGTTGTTAGAAAGATTCTACAAAGTACAAAGGAAACATTTCAACAGCTTGATAGTGACTTATCACAATATTAGTGAAATTCTACGAAAACAAATAAGAAATAACCAACATGAATCTTAAATCAATACAAAATTTGATAAAAAAAAAAAGATTCGCACGGAGAGCAACGAAAAAATGTATAAATAATAAGGCCAGATGTTCCCGAAGAGTAAGCGTCTTCTTCTTGATCGACGAAATCTTGCATGTAGATATTGGACAATTTAAATAAGTAACATCAAGTTCTCAAGAAAGAAAGATGTTACTACGTCGCATTTCTTCAGAAATCTTACACTCGGCATGATCAGAATTTTAAAAAATGGCTATATAGGGTATATATTCTGCTTTAAAAGCTTAAATACATTTTGGTAAATACGTGTATATTGCTAGTGTTACTCTGATTATATTCTTACCACTTCCGTGACATATTTATTCTTCAGCAGCATCTCAGCCAGAGCAATCATCTGTTTGGGACCCAATCCATTGTCTTCGAGGTCTACTTTCTTAAATGTCAAGTGGTTCTGTGAATCATAAATTATTGAAAGTTTTAGGGAGGCACTTTCGGGATAGATGTCTTCACTTATCTTATACACTTCGCTCTTTACATCCCTGGAATATGTCATGACAAAATTGAAGGTTACATGGGTGACACCTTGTGAACAATACGAAAGGACTTTTCTGATCTTTTGATGTACATCATACGAATCTCGAAGACACTTAATGATATATTGTAATCGATTTGAAGCTGTGTGTCACTGTTTTGTTATCTTCAAAAGGAGCGTATTAACCTGTAATTGGTCAATTTTTTCTTATATGACCAATAAAGATACATCATTTGTGCCTTCAGTTTTACCATGGCATGTTCAAGGGTGCAGAGAACGAAAGTGATTATAACCCCTGGAGTATCGAGAATGCAGTTGTACATGAAACTGGACATGTCTGTGAACACCTGCCTTTTATCAAATCACTATCTGAATGTAACACAATGTAGAGACAGTGACGTTGTAAACTGATTTTACTTAAACTTAATTAGCACTAACCTCCACCTCCCAGCCAATGGCCTGACAGTCCTTCGCACTGAGGTAGCGGTGTCGCATAGTCAGCTCGTCGTCCACAGAGTGCCGTATAAAGTAGTTGTTCGGTACTGTTTTAAGCTTTCGGCACAGGTTTTTATATTCAGGGAAGTCACCGTCATCCTTAATCTGCTTCGTCCTCTCATCAATTATCAGCTCCATACCTACATAATTGTAGTATGTAAATTAATCATGAGGTAACTATTATATGTTTGTATGTCATATTTTTGCCATAGTCATGTTTTTATTTGTTTGTAAAATGTCATGCTTATCATATCAATATGTATTAGTTTATGATATCTGTCAGTAATCAGAATTGTTTTGCCTTTCACACTACGTATGAAGTCATTAAAAAGGAAGATCGTGTCGGCACAAAAACATTATTCATAACAAGATGTGTTTATGGAACCATGTTGCAATAAAATTATGAAGTGGGACATTAAAACTATACTGTGTAAGGCATGTGATAATCGAATGCACAACGTTTCAAATATGGTAAAAGTTCATGGCCAAGGTAACATGGTGAAAAATGTTGGTATAACTGTGTAGACACACACGGCTGAATTTAATAATAAGTAATAGTAACCATGGAGTGATATAAATGTCATTTGTGGCAGCATAGCCAGGGTAATTTCACCCATTTACCTGAGAGATTACGTAACATGTCAGAGTTAAAGGTCTTATAAGCTGTTGTGTAAAATGATCATCATTACAAGTTATTGTCACAAGACATTATTTTCCTTTCTATAAAATGCACAAAAATATTACTAATAACAGCAGCAAATTGTTAGAAGTAACAGTTTACATTGGTTTATGGAGGTTAGGGTCGCAGAATTAATTTGTATCATTAACACGACGACATAATTCGTGATGTTGACGCCCGCACCAGATACGAGTAAAATATTTCCCAGTATGATTGGTGTTTATTTGCAACAACTCCTGATACAATGCATAATATTTATCCGAAGGTTCAGGATAAAAAACCTGTTATACCGTGTCTGATATGCTTCAAGCTCAAGTTAATAATATGTCAATATTTGATGTCGAACATTATGTTTATTAGCTCCTCACTGTGAAGGTATCAACATCAACAATATCTCAATTACTAACCCTGATCGTGTACAACATAATCATATGCATACATATAACACACTCCTACAGCACTTTCGCTCTCTGCAACCTTGGAACATGATGGTTCCACGCGACAACTTATGGACAAAACGAAAAGACTAGTTTGATCCTTTAATGTACATCAAACGAATCTCGAGGTCGTATAACGGTATATTGTTATGGCTTTGAAGTTTGATGTTGCTCTTTTGTAATCGTCATATTATTTCTTCTGAAACCATCAAATTACTTCGCTTCTGCCTTCAGCTTCGCCATGACATGTTTCAGGGGTGTAGAGAGTGAAGAGATCATAATTACATGAGTATCGGTGATGACACCCCTATTGTATTATGTACAAGATATATCCTTAGTCAGAGTGAACGAAATTTTATGATCTACGCGACAGTATTGCAGCAATTGTACCTGAGAGATATCTATCAATATTTACGTTTCATTATTTGTATTTACCTTGGAGGCTAAGTAAATGTTTTCATCAATTAATTCTTTACAACCATCGTTATGGTAGATGTTATACCCAGGGGAATTAAATGAATAAGTTAACACACTTTTGAGGAATCAATAAAATGACTATCCCAATATAACTATTCTATACTGTAAGTTTACATTACTGTATCGTCAACACAAGATTGTTTGTCTGCCAATATCAGTAAATTGATTACCTGTGTATAATCATGTAATATACATATATGAAATAGCAACTAATCCGGTATTTACATGTACAAAGCAGAGTAATCAAATTATATTAAAAAAATAAATCCATACTATTATATATGAAATCTCTTTGAAGTATGAGTTATCAATTCACTACTTAGCGCTCATTAAATTCACTTTATATTTCTAGCTACTTGCCAGTATCTAATGAGTATTCTGATAACGTGTCATCGTTCAGCCATTTTCTTACCATTCATCGTTACTCTCTTTATTAAATGGCACGGCCTAGCAGATAGTTCGTTACTTAATTCGTTCCATGAGTGTCAATTATTACAAAGTAAGGGAGACTGGATGTTCTGTTACAAAGCTACCAAAATCATTATATGGTACTTCATGCTCAATATTTGTCGCACAGCATTACTTATGGAATTCAGGGACTAATTAGCCTGACTTCTCTGATTAGATCGGATGGGGCTGTCGTGCTACCGTTTCCGTGTTTTGAATATTTCAGGGTGATTACACTATAAACGTGCCATTATCAGTCCGTCTTGATATTACCTTGTCTGTTTGAGGATGTGAATCTCTTTAACTCACTTAGTTCGAAGGACCGATGATTTTAAAGTCATAGTGGATTTTGACCAGATTTGTTCAGAAGCATTCATAAGAAAGGAAAACATTTTTTTTTGCCCCTTAAGAATTGAGGGACGGGACCGAAAAGGGCTGGTAGATCAAAATTCTCTGGTTGGGCGCGGCCACCAGGGCTGGAAAAGGCAGGCTCACATGGGGAAATAGATATAGATCTTTCAAATGTTTGCTTGTCATTAAGTTTAGATGGAACAATTTCTGCTAAACCAGGTGAGCGATGTAGGCCTCTTTGTTTACAATGTAAATAAGAGATGAAATAACTCTTTGTTCAGTTACGTCGTACATATTTAATCAGACTATACAAATAAATCTTATTGTGTTTAATTGAGACATTTCAGTTGTATTTTTATTTTCTTCAAAGAATTTCTTTACCCTTAATGAAACACTTACCTAAATCAGTATCGAGGTCTGTATCGTATTCGTCATCATCACTCTCTACCCAAGTCCTTTTTGCTAATCGACTTGGAGTTTCAACATTAAAATATACTTCCAGATCCTTCTTTAATTTAGACGTTCTTAAAAGTCGTTCCTTCTTTTCCTCGTACACGTCATCGCCTAAAACCTTTCCTGTCATCCACGCCGTCCTACGAATTTCTGCTGATGTCTTTGACAACGCAGAACAAGGGCTGTTCCTATCGCTGTTTTTGGAATTACTACGAGAATGTTGTTCTTTTGATATTTTTTTCCGCATTTTTGCACTGTTTGGAAGTTTCATGCCACTGCTGTTTGAGTATCTACCGCTTCCAAAGCTTCGTTCTGACTTAAGGTTAATTGACGCAGGTCGTGGTATGCTAGGGAGCGAGGGAGTTGTGCTTAGTATTGGTGACCGACACTGAAAGGCCCCGTCCATCTGTAAAAAAAAAACAACAACACAGAAATGTTTAACATATTTGTTTGAACATAAACAGATTTCATTAGTGACTAGATTATTTATTCCGAAAGTGGAAAATGAACAAGATACTCTCGAAACGTTTAATATTCATCAGCGACTTCTCCAAATATTATAGAAACAAAAAACTTCATTGGAAACGGATAAGATAACCCAAGAGCTTTATTGCAGATTAGTGAAGAAATTCTAAATAGATGAATATTATCATAGACTTGATCAGATAACCAGCTGACAACTTTAAGCTTGCACTTACATGTATGTAGTGAACCAATAATCTTACTCATGGTTAACAGATATTTTATTATGGTGCATATGCATTGAGATATTTTAGTTTCCAACAGCATGTCGGAAAAATATATTATAGGTTAAACTTCGCAGTAATGACGCGAATAGATTGGAATTATCTGTTGAAAGTGGAAAATGTACTTGTACATTATGGATATAATGATATAGTGTTATATATTAGATATATGTTTATCAGGGACTGATGGGAGTGATACAACCATTACTATTATACTATCAATGTCAAAATTTGAAGCTGAAAAAGTTCTGTTATCTCATACCCTATGTAAACAGTAGCAGTTCAGTACCTTTAAGATATTTCTTTAAATCCTTTTGAAACGTATTGGTACAATGGTATTTGTTGTGATTATGTGCGTTGCTCTATTGTGAAAACGTCATTTTCACGGACTTGTTATTTAACTAACTTTATAAGTAAGCCATACATCTCACCAAAGGCACAAAATGTCATGAACATGTCGTTTCTGAAATATCAATTCCGCTAATATCAGTTGCTCACAATAAGATGTCATTATTGTCCATGTACGGTATCTGTTAACGTTTTAATACATATGATGTTCTTCTTTAAAGGTTGTTGAGAAAGTGAGCCGTTAAAATGAATTGTAAAGCAAAACGTGAAACAATATTTATTTAAATATATTATGTGACTTACATTTTCATTATGTTTTATTAAATCATTGCGTGGTGTATATATTAGTCTAAGAAGTCAAAACAAAATAAATATATTAATCCGATCAACGTTACAATCAAGGGAAACGATATATATATATAATTATGTTTTGGCTACCACATTAGAGAAATAATACAATTCAACGATATGAAAACTTACCCTGCGGAAATTTCTGTATACGATGCTCACGACATAAAAATCCCTGACTTATTATTGCTTAATGGTGATCCACCATGATCCATCATCTCCCAGAACTGGACCTGGTAGTAGTGTTCACTATTGGTCAGCTGTATAGTGCTCTCGACCGAAATGGGTTTTGGAGTCACGAACTTAAACATTCGGCTATCGTTCTAATACCGTGTGTCTGGAGAGCCCATAGACCCGTATCGCCAGTGTTTATTGTAAATGATAATCCGCGCCTAATCACGAACCCTATGGAAAATAAACACCAAAACGGTGTATCGCTAAAGCGGTGGGTAAGCTGACATAGAGAGCTTTAATCTGTACACACAAAGGACATAGGTATTAATCTCATCAAAGTAATAGGTATTACCTTAAAGGCACGTAGTCTCCGTGTTCAGTTAATTTATTCAGAATTGTACGATAAGAATTATAGTAGAGAGAAGTGCATTCTATTTTACCACTTGGATATACATTTTAAGACAACAATTATGCCTCAGAATCAAATATTCGTGGTTATAACAAACCACGTCGTTAATGAATTTTGTACAATATACCACGACGTCAAATATTCGTGGTTATAACAAACCACGTCGTTAATGAATTTTGTACAATACACCACGACGTCAAATATTCATGGTTTTAACAAACCACGTCGTTACTTATTCTGTACAATACACCACGACGTCAAATATTCGTGGTTATAACAAACCACGTATTTAATGAATTTTGTACAATACACCACGACGTCAAATATTCATGGTTTTAACAAACCACGTCGTTACTTATTCTGTACAATACACCACGGCATGAAATATTCATCGAAAAATCATACTTCGTCGTTACTTATTCTGTACAATACACCACGGCATGAAATATTCATCGTAACTTTAAACAATACACTAGTTCTACACCAAGTCTCAATTTAACCGACGTTGATATATGTACATAAGGCCAACCTATTATCATCCAAACATAACATGAAAAACAGACAGTTTAAAACATCACTGGTCAAACACACCAAAATGATATCAAACATAACATTCGCTTTGTTGTCAACATTTGTTTCGTAATCTGATAAGAGATTTCTTTGTAAGATACGAAATTAAAAAGAAACTTTGGAAATCTTTGGAAATGTTTATCGTATCTTCCCAGGTATATCAAAAACGACTTCCTGTTTGGAAATTATTGATCAAGAATTCAATAACATTCCATTTCATGAGGTTCATGGTGCGACAGTTACTTTCTTCTCAAATCACTACTTTTAGTATCATTACTAATTTGGGACAAGGGTATAAAAATCAGAATATGCAGCCAATCACATCTTCGCTAGGTAATATCTGACCTCCGTTTTGCATCACAGATTGTTAGATATTTGTAATGGCAGTAGTTATATAACGAAACAACATATAAGAAACAAGTACAAACCTTCACACAAAGAAAAACATGTCTTAATCTTTAAACAGGAGAAAATAGATTTTTTTTTTAAAGTAGTATTCTGTAGTTCAGTTACATATTTTGTTGAAAAGAATTTGGAATCAAACGAAAGAAAAAATAAATAGCACTTCCAGTACAGTGTAGTTAGACACACTATAGCAAACTAACATATTACATTGTGGTTGTTTTGTTCTTATCCAAGTAAAAAGACACAAGTGAATAGTATCTTTAAATACAATGAAACTAGAAATACCAATCAAATGTTTGAATTAAAATGCGTGCTGAATGTGTTTCTTTAAGACACCTGTGCCCGAAATTAAAACTCATCTTTGGAAACTGGACAGACAACCCCGAACCATTTGTAGTTATTGAACAATGACTATGTTATCGATTACTTCGTGACCTGGTTAATGGTGATTTGGGGCGCTAGGAGAGACGATCAATGTTTACTATTGACACGTACACCATTTATGTCATGCCGCGGATTATATTTAACATAGTTGATGTTAATTGTTTAAACAGACATCGAACTGACGCATCTGGATATTTATTTATCTGGGTTTAATTGGGCGCATGGAATATGTTGGCCAGCTATGGTAATTTGTCATACGTGATTGATGTGGATGTTATATTTTATCAAACTTTTATTTAAAGAAGTCGCTCATTCTTTATCGTACACAATGTACCGAGATTTCTAGAAGACATTTTGATACTTGAATCACCATCTTTCATACAACAACTTCAGATGGGTTTCTTGCCCTTTTAAAGGGCCTTCGGCGTCCATCGACCGAAAGGATTATCGAGACACCTAAATTTACACTATCGTTCCCGATTTTCGTTTATAACTTTGCTTCTGTTTTATTTTCTATGTATGTGATGTAACTTATATTTTATTTATGTCATATTTTGTATCTTGATAAAGTGGCGGATTATCTCGAAAATTTGACAATTCACTTGCTTGTATCGTTATTATTACTTCATTAATCTACTAGCACCAAAATTCAACTTAAATATCAGAAAATCTTAAAGAACGTCAAGTACATGTGTATATTCTCAACCGTGACACTGTTCAAGTGAAAATAGATCAACTGTCACACGAAGTTGTGTTCACCTTTCCTTTTTACTGAGTAGATATGTATGGAAATTAATGCATTCCTAGTTTTTGTTCTACCTCTTCTATAAATTATCCAGACCCTAAAAACACCGTATTGATATATAAATAATCCAAATAATATAGTTAATTAGGAAATGGATATTTTTCCATTTAAAACTTGTGTATAAAGAAGTAAGGTGCCAGTCATTAAAAGTTGTATTTTCCACTAATCATGACGTTACAAAACGAGATGTCCCATTTTGTTCTTACCGAGAAGTGTATGTAGGCGGTCAGTGTTTGTTCTTAATTATCTATCAATCAATCAGATCGATATGAAGCGGATATTTGTGATCTATTAACTTTCCCCTCTTCTCGATTGGATGTCATACATGTTACCCTGGCGTACGGTGTTTTCTGTAGAAAAACCTGGCGACCTGATGTCGTATGTTAATTACGTAGGGTATGTCCCAGGAAGTTAGGGAAGACATAAATTATGTCGATTGATATCAGAGTGGTCCATACTAAGACTTAACAAGTTCACAATTTATTGGTGATTTCGCCGTTAATACATCAATACTATCAAACTGATAAAAAGGTCCCTTCCTGGTAAAATGTGGTGTTCGAATGGCCATGTCCTTATTTTATATGTCATACATCATTGTCGAACAATAGCCTTGCCTCAAACTGTGTCCTATTAATTTACACCAGATAAACATCCATCAATGGTTGAAGCGTTACCATGGAAGGACGCGGAAGTTTTCTAAGGTTATTTATGAGAGAACTTATCCTATATAAAGGCGCTCGAAATCGGACGCCATCAAAACCAGCGTCACGATGAACGAAAATATGTGCTTGCTGATTCTTTTAATGCTTGTGCAGCAAGCTTTTGTTTTCTCCAAACCTTTGAAGGTAAAGTACATAAAAACACAGAATGGTGTTTTTTTTTTCCAGAAAAAAAGCGAAAATCACCAAACCTTTGCGCAATACACAGTACTTTCTTCTACATAATTCATTACGATTCTTGACGATATCTTTGCATATTTTTTATCGAGTTACAATTTGCAAGTAAAGTTTACGAAAATATATTGAAAAGATGCCGATTCATAGACAGGATCTACACAGAAGTCAAAATCATTTGCACAATTTTGTTTTGTTTTTTACTGTTGTAGAATATAAAGATGTTTGTAGGCAAACATTAATTGCATGCTAGTGTATCGTCATGTTTATGCCGAAAATACTGATGTCAAAACTTCCATGCATCAGATGTCATTTATCGTACTTTATAAATATGTACGTAATAACAGTATATATAACGGAACTACTGTGCCAGTGTAAATTATAGGTAAACATTACCTTAACAGATCTATTAATGACGTTGCCAACTATATACACTATTCTGAGATAGTTATACCCCAGCCCAGTCACACAAGCACGACACTTGAATATTATCTTGTCAATACTTAAATTATACATTACCTAGACACTTCTTATACGAACTGTTACAACTTTTTTTTACCATCACAACCTAAAGAAATGTTTAAATATTTCCTTTATCTTATTACTTGTTCAAATATTTCTTGAATAGTTTGATCTTTCAATTTTTATGTAAAATTCAAAAATCTATCGTATAATCTAGAACGTTATCAATGAAACACAAATTTGTCTCGGAGGAGCTGATATTGTATTGAGAGCCAAAGTATATGAAAAATTTGCAGCAATACTTTTTTGTCGTTCATGTGCTTTGTCTTTCATAGCAATTTTCTAATGCATCAACACAACTTTTCAAACACTCTCGAAAAGATTCGTCTGAGCAAAGCCGACCCGCAGAGGAGTGGAGTGTGAAGGGTGCTTTCGAATCGGATATACTGTTGACCTCCGAACAAGCTAGAACTATAAAGGCAGGCATCTTGTCTTCTGAGTCTGGTCAGTTTCGCAATAAACGAAAAGCATTGACAAACATCGAGTCCCTCTGGCCCTCTGGAGTCATTCCGTACCAGTTCGAAGCGGATTTCCGTAAGTGACATTGTTATCTTGTTTGTGAGAAATGGTCCTGACTTCGAGAGCTGTGTCAATTTTCAATTTTTTACCGTCTTGATAACATGTTGTAACGAGAGCTGTTTAACCACAAGTCAAAGGCTTGATATTTAGGTTACTTCTGTGTATTAGCGCTAGAATCGTGAAACTGTCTTAGTATTAAACAAATGATAGATAAAAGAAGACATACTGTTGGAATAATGAGACTGAATTAATGTACATCTCTTTGATTTCGCGAATACTTTATTTTGCGAACTTACCTCTTCAGATATATCCGCGAATACATGATTTCGCGAAATCTGCTCTACAATTGAATCTAGGTTCGTAAATGATGAGCTATTTCAGAAGTGGACTTAGGTACCGATAGGTTTAGGAAAGATAGAAATTACAGATCATGCGTTTTTTTTAGCTCACAGTTTTAAGTAAACAAATAAATAAATATAAACATTCTTCGCATGTCAATTTCGCCAACAGCTTGGCGTGGTGAGGTTCTTAAGGCCATCAAACACTGGGAGAATGAAACATGCATCACTTTCAGAGATGTTTCGGCCAATGTCAAGCCCGATCTTGGCCATACAAGTCTACTACAATTTTCGATCGGTGAAGGGTAAGCAAAGCATGCCTGTAATATGAACTTATTTTACGACCCATCTGTTACTTTGGTATACAACATATGTACTTCAATTAATCAATTATGCCTTTGTTAATTACAAGTAAAACTGATAAGTGAATTATTTTATAACTTGAGCGATTAAAAGAAAAAAAATGTTTAAAACGCTGCAACATTTACTGATGTCAGTATTAAATGGAATTCTTATTGATTTCATAAAAGGAAAAGAATTTTCAATTTTCAATGAACTGCTCAGCAGTTCACGTAAATTTCTCTCTACGCCAGTTGTTTAAATGAACCCATGAAATCAGTAGTAAATTATGGTATACATATATTTGTATAATGACGCATATGATTCGTAATTTGGTACTTTGCATTAAAAATACATATTTTTTAAATTCTAACGACAGATTATTTTGTAAACAAAACCCCAGATTTGTGACGTTTCACAGAGTCATACCTACTGTCATCTTTTAACATCGATGTCTAACTTATCTTCTGAAAATAACGTTAAACTGTTTATGCAACATGTAATATAAACCTGTGACAATATTTCATACCTTATATGTACAGGTGTTCGTCACATATCGGCAGAAGTAGTGACGGAGGAGCACAGGAGACATTTCTAAGTGAATCTTGTCATTCGGTAAGCGGTTAACTTTATTGTATGTCTACATCGATGTTACACAAGAAATAACAAGCATACAATAAAGAATTTATTTTTTTCCTGTCTAGTAAAAACAAAATAATCAAGAGAATGCCATCTGGCAATATGATCATAATTCAAATTAAAATTCCATAAAATTATGGCAAAATATGAACACGGAGAATCCTGAAAAATCACAATGAGAATAAGAGACAATTTGTTCCGGAAGAGTAAGCGTCTTCGTCGATGACACCCGCCATGTAAACCTTGGTCAATCCAAGTAATTTGTGTCACATTCTTATATGAGAACAGGCCAACAGGCCAACAGGTGATGAAACAAGTCTTTAATTTATACGACCTATGTAATACTCCCAACAACAGTGTTCGGACTGCTACAGAAAGTCGGTAAGTAATTGATGACAAAATAACGTAAATGACTTACAAAATCTGAAGTACTTTGTCTGAACATTGGATCTGACTAATTACAGGTTGGTTCTGTAGTACATGAAATCGGACATGTGATAGGGTTCTACCACGAGCAATCACGTCCTGATCGAGATGAATATGTGCAAATCCATGAAGACAATGTCAAGTCTGGAGAATTGTTTCAGTTTCGGAAGTATGATACAAATCGTATTCGAACCAACGAACCTTACGATATCGGATCTGTAATGCATTACGGGCCTAAGGTGAGTGCAGAAATCTTAGTGCGGTTAGACTTCAACAACCAACACGGGCGATTAAACAACAAATCTATTACAATCTCGTGCATCAACCCAATGTTGTACTCTGTCCTACTACACAAGCAGAATTAGTTTATCGTCACTGAAACTCCTCGAAGAGAATCACGCAGTGATCGAAAACTTAGAAATAGGTGAACTGAAAGATTGATACACACAAGCATTTGTGGGTATTGTGTATGATGTTTATAAATCAAAGTTGACGTAACAAGACACGAGCAGCTCGTAGAGGTGTGATATTCTTTGCTATTTTTAGGTTGTCGTGCCATGCATAAAGCTATCAGTATCTTAGGATAATCAGGTTCTTATGTCACATTTCATTTTACTATCATTATATTGCTTCAGTGGTTCAGCAAAGATAGGGAATCTCACACCATCGACCCATTGGACAAGAGAATGACGCCGTTGATGGGACAGAGAGAGGGACTCAGCTATATAGACGTTAAAACAGCCAACAGCCTTTACAACTGTAACAGTAAGCGTTCGTTATTACTAAAAAAAGGTCCGTTTTGTTTAATTTTCATGTATATTGAAAAATAAAGAAGTTTTTACATATGGTCACATGGACGAATTTTCTGTGAGCAATCTTCCGGCTAGCTCCAAATGATAATCGCGATAACCATTGGATTTAAGGCATGTATTCGACATTTCGATGAATGTCTTTCATACATGAGCGCACATTACTTTCAGAAATGGCATTGGTAATAATGCAAGCGCTTTCCAAATTTGATGAAAAATAACAGGTATCCGGTTGAATTTTTGCCAGCCACCCATTTATCTATACATGCACAAATATACGATGCACTGTTATGAACGTCATTCTTGACACAGCAAACACCAAAAAAGATGTTTTATACTTTTTTCATTGGCTAAGTTACCCTATGGGTGTAGCCTATTTTCTGAATGGCATTACATACCTATTTCTAACAAAGGAGGCAAGATATATATTATTTATACTATGGCACGTTTGCAGGTAAATGTCCCGCTGATCTTATGTGTGAGAACGGGGGTTACGTGGGCCCACGTTGCACATGCGTGTGCCCAAATCAACTGACCGGTCGGACCTGTTCTCAGGTGGTTCGCGAAAACACAGGTAAGTCAGAAATATTTAAATCAGCCTTTAACATAAATACATAATAAATTAACTAGACATATCGGATATAAATGTGTCTTTATTTTTGTTAATTAGATATGATTGTATTTGTTTAATGTTGGCCTTTCTCTACGATATACTAATGCTATGTTGACCAGACGGATTAGATTGCGGGGGAATTTTTACCCAGCACACCGGTACGATTACCTCACCTGGCTATCCAAACAAGTACAGCAACGATACAATATGTAACTGGATGATCAAAGTAAGTGTTCCAACATTCATCCTCGATATTTCAGGGGTTACAATCAATTTCGCTCTCTGCACTCCTGGAACATGTAGTGGCAAAAAAAAGACACGTGCGAAGTAATCTGATTGGTTCCCGAGGAAGAAAGTGACCAATCACAGGCTGATACGCTCCTTTGAAGATTACAATGGCGTGACACCCAACTTCAAAGTTATTACAATATACCGATATGCGACCTCAAGATTCGTTTGACGTACATCAAAGGATCAAACTTGTCTTTTCGTTTTGTACACAAAGTTTCGCAAATGGAACCTTCAATTTTGTTGTGATATGATCCAGGGATGCAGAGAGCGAAAGTGGCCGTAACCTCTGGAGTATCAAGAATGTCGAAAATTATTAATAATTAATTATAATGTCTAGACTCAACTCAATATTGCCGATAGTTTAGCGGAAACATATTTCTTCAAGGATAGTGAAGACGTACATCAAATGAATCACGCTGCTATTTTTTAAAATTTGCTAAATACCATATAGGAAAGTCGCAATGTCATCGTCACTCAGTAAAATATAGTGTTTAATGTCCTGTATGAAACGCACACCATCAATGACCAAATGTACAGCATACATGAAATCAAAATACGTTCGCTGCATACATTGGATTGTCAGCGTTGTCAACGCATTCAGATTCACGTATCAAGTCTCGTGTCTTTTCCCTTAGGCCGACCAAGGAAGAACCATTATATTGGACATTCAGACGTTTTCATTGGAGAATGGTAACGCATGCCAATTTGACAGTCTGGAGGTTAGAATCTACGGACCCGGTCTCGCTGGGCCAAAGTATGTATTCAATACTTGCACTTGCGTACTAGTATTTCCGTTTTGTTTTGCATACAAGTGTACATTTCGGTATCCAACGCGTGTCATAGGCACAGTGTGGACCATTGAATTCAAACGATTATTATATGGTACCGGAGTCATTTTCTATGCAATATTTTTTGTAAGACGTGGTGAAATGTGAAGTGTAATGATGGCTTCAATTTATTTTATCATTTACTTCTAGAATTTTATATTTTGGAACAGACGCAATTTTGTTGGTCTTGTGGTTTATTGAGATCTTGTTATTGAAGGAGAAACTCTTCGTCCTTGTGTTTAGACCTTACGGTAAACAAATGACTGTTTATACAGTATTTTGGTTACGTTGTTCCCTTGGTGAAAACACTATAGACTCCTTCCAACATTATGGATTGCTTTATTTCAGTATAATTTATACCATTCAATACGTCCACGCCTGATAAAGTGCTTTGACATATTTACTTGTATATGTATAACTCCAGTTTAAACGTCCATGTATATTGACGTGGTATTTCCCCTCCAAAGTCCAAGATTTTTATATTTTTTTTCTTTCTTCGAAGCACCTATTATCAGAAAATATAGATTTCCTGGTAAATTAATTTTTATTACTTTTTTTTCTAAAATTGTAGATTGTGTGGTGAATTCAAGAAGTCAGAACAGATGACATATCATGGACAGAGTCTTGTAATCCGGTTTAAATCTGACGAAAGCTACACTGCTTCTGGTTTTAGTATCAATTACCACATACAATAGTTTAAATGAATGCTTGATTGAACCATAGAGCTACATAGTGTTATCTTGTATATGATTTTTTTTCATACAAAGGTTTTGATGACTGAATGATTAAGTAGTATTTTTGCAGTCTTCAATAAGCTGCACCGAACACGTGAGATATAAATATGAAAGGAGCACGTCTTAATCATACGATATTCAATAAATTCAGAATCAAACTATAGTTTCAATTTTTTCTTATTATTTGTGATCAAATACAGGTTTTGTCCTCGTTAAATTTCACTCAAAGTTTGTATTGCATAATTCATTTCATATCAAATTTCAAATTTCAATGCGAATTATTCAAATATTAAACAGATTAACAACTTGATAGTTTTTAGTTTTTTGCAATGATTGCACGCTTCGAATCTAGCTAAAACGATGAAGAAAATGATAAATGACGTTTTTTTATGCTCGGTATACGAAATGTGATGTCACATTTCTTCTTACTTTTAACAGCAATGTCGGTTACACCTACAAGAACTAGAAGCACATTGTTCAGTTCAATATTATTATGAATTATATTGTACTTAAAGTACTGTAAATGTTGCTTAATTGATCTATACAGCGGAAAGAGTAAAATAAATCAGTGATTGTGGACCCTCCGGTTGAATATTCACAATTGGGAAATAAATCACGATTTCTTTGATTCTGAGACAGATATCTCCTTACATCAATGTGAACACGTGTGTTGCTTATAGTCTATCATATATTACTTTAGAACAGAGCATGTCTCAACATTTCAATAAAAATACAAATCAATGATCTATCCTGCTATAAGGTGAATCATGATGGGTACAATAAAACCAGATATTGTAAAAAAGAATATTTATTAAGCATATAATAACCGTTACCACAACCACAAGAATCTGGCTAATAAAGAATATAATTGATATCCATGGTTACAGGCAATATAAACAAAAAAGCCGTAACGATTTCTTTATGATTACTAAAAGGTGTAAAATAGATTAAAATGCCACCTGTACAACAGAATAGCAATCTTAATGCTTTCATTTGCGATATATAAGTATATATACAATCTATATATAGGTATATGTAGAAAAAAAGATATATATTGGCTTGAAATGGAAAACATTAATGAAAGCAAAATTTAATGACCGACTTGAAAATAAGCGAATTGTGACCACTACAAGTGAAAAACTTAAGAGCCATGTCAGGGTTGAAAGCAATTTCCAAGTCAGTCATTAAGTTTTGGTTTCATAAAAATCAACCCATATAAAACATAGCAATATGTAAAACTTATTATTAACAACACAATTCGGTCAATGTATAAATACTGGCAACAAACTGACTCAATACAACAATGCCTGATGGATCCATTACGTTTTTACAACATGTCTATTCATAATATCTTTCTTTTCAAGTTGAAATATTACCCATTTGAAAATACTTCATTTATCATTTAACATTGTAATTAAGCTAGAAAAATGTTCTACACAAAATATTTTAGAATGTCTCCCGAGACAACTTTTATGGATAAATAAATGCGCTTTCATAATTGTTTTACCCTGTTTCTTTACCAGTCTGTACCCAACTACAACTACATTACATGTATATAGCCAATACAGTCATGTTTCTAAAAAGTTCTTGTTATTCTTTAATGTTTTCGAGAGAATTCAGGGCTCTCACACCCCATTTTGGGACTGGGGCCCGGGGCCCTTAGAATTGGGAAAAATAATGGTGCTTTCCTTAGAATTGGGAAATCTTGGGGTCTAAATTGGGAAAAAAAGATACTATTTTGCATTGGGAATGGGGCCAAATATTGGCCCCAAATCTGGCAGATCGAGAGCCCTGGAATTAATAACTGACTATCTTAGTTGGATTGAAAAAGGGCCGACTGAAAGCGTTAGTTTCTTGATGATTTCTGAACTACTTCGTGAGAACTAATAGTTGAAACACATTCAAATATCCTGTTCCTGCATGAAGAAAGATAGACATTTCCTTAACTAATATTATCATTTGTTTTGGCCATAAATCAGTACCAAATGATATCAGGATTCAATGTTTGGTGTAAACAAAGGTAAAAACATGACCAATTTAAGACAGTGGGGTATCAAAAAGCAATACATATATATATCTAAAAAGACTAGTATCTTATTTTATGGCACTTGTAAATCATTTCATATTTGATCAAGATTGTAAGATTATCTGTCAAAAAACTGAAATATACACCTTTAGACTGATTTACAGAAATGATCATAACACTTGAAGTATGAAAGAAAAGCAGCACATGTGCTTAAAAAATCCCAACTGGATATTTCCATTCATCATTGTTTGGTCTTTATTCGTTAAATAAAAGCTGGATGTTTCACTTCCTCTTCTATAGTTTCCTCTGTTCTTGATCTTAATCTTAATCAAAGATAGTCACCTGTTGGCCAAATTGTTTTTTCTGATAATTACCAAAAGAAAAGGCACAAAGAGGCCAATGGGAACATTTATATAAAATTAGAAAATGGGGCATTCATTACATCACAAGAAAATACAATAACCAACCTGTCTTTGTAAAAATATCTAAGATAGCTGTCTGTCAGACATTTCTTTTTGATGGTCCAAAAATCAAGGGGGCACAAATATGGACCAATGGAAACTTCCACATGAAACTTGAAAAAAAAGAAGATAAATCTAGTATCTCTCGAGAAAACATGGTAAAAATCTTTCATTGACAAAATCCCAAATCCCGGACTGTCAGCCATCTTGTTTTTCTGATTAGTTCTAAAATGAACTATGCACAACTAGGGACTAAGGTGAACCTGTCAATGAGATTTGGTCTAAAGGACATTTCTCAAAAAAGTAGGGATAACAAACAATTCCGGTCAGTATCGAAGATGGCTGCCTGTTGGCCATATCATTTTCTTACATCAGTGTCAAAATCAAATAATGTTCAACTAGCGAGCAAGACGAACCTATGTATGGAATTTGAGAAAGATCCATCCAATACTTCGCCAGAAAAAACTATAACAATTTAATACTGTTAAATAAAGAGAGCACCTGCAATAACAATGATATTACATATACAAGGAATACATGGTGTACAATGTACAACCATTTGATAAGCCATCAATAAATGGAGACAACATACTAACATTTAGAGGTGGTTCTGTGTGTTAAATTCTGTGTGGTTTAAGTATAAAGATAACACTGCTAGGTATCCAGTGCATTCTAAACATGGAATAGGAACCCTTCTGGATCCTTGTATCTGCCCTCTACAAGTGATGTGTACAGACCAACATGGTAGAACAGATTGGGTTCAATCTGGTAAGATGAAATGTTGTTCTCTAAAGTGAACTTATAGATAGCTATATCCGTATGATCCATGCCTGGCCTGGCAGTGTCTTGTAGATAGTTCAGTAAGGCAGGTATGATGTGTTCACTATACAACATAGCCTGTGTACAGCATCCTGGAGACTTCCTAAAAGAATACAACGAAGCTGAGAATCGTCTAAGTTCCATTATATTTTGTCTATCTAAAAGTTCCGCCACCAGTATGAAGTAAACAGAACCTGCTAAAAAATATAACATCTGTAACGAATACATTTTACTACTAACATTCCAATTAAAAACAAGCACAAAAATACCAGCTCCGATGAATCCTACACTCAGCAATTCCATTATCCTTGTCTCCTCAAAAGCGAATCCTTGCCACTTCATGGGGTAGTACAGTTTGATATGCCCAAACTCTCGTTTGTAATGTTGGAGTTTAGTGTCCATTACGTGTTTAACGTTATTCAAAACTTCTTTGTGTGGAATGGCGTCATCTTCCACCATCAAAATATAGCTGGCGTTCATGAGGTGAGCACTCTCCAAACAGAACATGTAATCCACAGTCTCTTTCTCATATCTGTTACTATACGAACGTTTGTGGTACAGTGTTGCTCTCAGTGGAGAGATTCTCTCCGTCATGTCCCTTCCCTTTGTACCGAATCTTTGTATCGTTGGAACATAGTTTGATAACCATGTTACATCAGTATAGTTTAATGGATTGGCATCAACATTACATATCACAAGTTTCTTTTTCTTAAAACTGAGGTTGTGTTTCAGCACTTTGTCCATTGCTGCTGTTGCTTGTAGGAAGTAGCCTAACTTTTGTACATCTGATGACTTTCTCTGGACAGTCACAATAACGACAAGCAAATCAAGTCTTTCGTGGTCATACTGGTTGTAATATTGCATTGACTCTGTTTTATCAATGCTGTTAAAGTAAGCCATGGCATTTGCAAGTCGTTGGTTGTTCAATTCCTTGGCATCACTTAACATTTTCTTTTCTGAATGGAAGACCTTGAACAGTTTAGAATAAGGTAAGTAATAGCAAAGAATAGGAATGATGAAAGTAAAAGTTATCAGATAGAGTATGAGTAATCGCAAACAGTGATGAAAAATTAAGTTTGCCATTATTTCAGCTATGACTCCAGATGCATTGAGTGTCTGCAGACTGTACCAATCCTCTGTACCAATCAACACAGTAATTTTCAAGAATAGCATTTAAACAGCATTTTGGTACTTGTAACATCATTTTGCCAATATCCTATTTCCATTATGCACCTGAAACAACAAATACATGTACATATTTTTCATAATTGAACTACAGATAGAAACTGTACTTAAATACTGAATTATATAATTTGAAAAAAACGCAGACAAACAAAATTTGAAAAAAATATGTACAAACACCTGTAACTAGAATACTGACAGTAAGTCTGATACTATTGTACTGAAGCTGGAAAGAATTGTAATGGAATCCCTGTTTTAATCACAAAACAGGATAATAAGTGTAGGAGGAAACCTTCAAGGAGACAGTGCCTAACTTGTCTCCTTATTACAGTGGTGTCTTTGCAAAACTGGTCAAAATTACTAAGGTACCAAATGGAAGATCTTATTAGCTAGATATATGTAGTCTCAGTGTTCTTCATATTATATAACCTGTATTAAGCCAATCCTCTAATTAGAGCAAGAGTAATTATAATGGGCCTCAACACCATAGCAAGATAGATACTTTTAAGATACCGAATTCATGATAAGTTTTTCTTCAGTCCTACATATTCAAATATAGTCACTCATGATCAATAGCTTAACAGTAGATGGAATCTTCCTTAAACTTCATAAAACCGTATACCAGGAATTTATTGCTGACGTCATGGGATTGATCTCTGCATAGTACTTACTTTAATCAAGATTTTAATCAAGGTTTGCCTTTGAACTAAAGGCAAATATGCAAATATGCATTTCAAAAAGTGACATGCATTTTTAAAATCATATTTGTATTTTAATTTCAATCTTAAAATAATATTGTGTAAAGGAATAATCTATGTAGTATCCAACTATTTAACTGGCATAGAAATAAATGCATCAATTTTCTCTCTATTTCTTGTAAAACATCTGTCAGGAGGGAATTCTTCTTCCCTCGAACAATCCAAGATCGGAACAACCTCCCTTCTGAAATTGTCTTCTCGGAATCCTTCAAACATGCGATTTCTGCCCATCATTCATCAATATTAATTATGTTCCCTCCTATTCAAATCGTACATGTTGTCTCTCTCATACATGACATAACCTTCACTAAGTTGAAGTAGCTATAGGTAATTACTTGGAAGAATTAGGAGTAGAAAGAACTTACCGTACAAGTCGAAAATGAAACTAGATTAAATCAACGTTCTACTGACGCTTAATTATTCTTTTCAATACATCTTTTACAAGCTTTCATGTGACTATGATGACGATCTTCTAAGCTCCGGGTCAAACAACGTAACGGACGCTCCCTGAGAAAGGGCGACATATGAGTCAGGTATGAGTAAGTTTGATATTTCCAGATGACCTTGCTCTGATCGGATGCAACTTTGCAATTTTCAGATGAACAGTTTTGGAGAAAAAAAGAAAAGTTTACTACAATCTTTGTTGTTGCCATCCGTTTCCTCTTGCAAACTCGAATTATCTGTGCACTGCACACTATTTCCATGCACATTTCATTAGTATAGCCATGCATGTATTATTTAATATTCCAATTGGCCAATCATGTTTTCACATATAAATGTACATTTTGTATGCCGCATACAAATGGTAAATATCTTTACTGTTGTATAATGGTGTAAAATATGATGTTTTATGCACGTACATAATGTACGTGTGTTACTGTGACAGTGTATATGTATAATGTGGTTCGTACATAAAGCGGCTGTGTTAAAACCACTCTCTGTCGTCAGCTGATGGAGCTTGCTTCCTTGGCTCAGTTGGTGAATCCTTGGATTGTCACATCAGGTCTGATTTCTGTTGGTAGCAACAAAGCACATCTAGGATATTTACCTGAGCTTTATGTAGGCTAATAATATACCCAACTGAGATATCACTTCCCCATGTATTGTGATAAATGTTATCATTTATGTCAGATGAATCATGGTATTTTTAGTGTACATGTTAAATTACATATTTTCTTTTTCCGCTATGTATTACCATTTTGATAAACATTTTTGGTTTATAGTATAACTGAAATGTTTTTAATACATTTTGACAGGTGATTTCTGGAGTGACTGTAAGATGAAGCTGGTCTGAATGTAAAGATGTGTCAAAAATGTGTGACAAGGCTGCTATATTTTTGATGAATTCGATCTACACCCAGATTTAAATACATCCTGAAGTCAAGCGATATTCATCAAAATGGCATCCACATTTTGGCACTCCATGTGTGGCCACAATGAAAACTTCACAGCTTGGAGAAAAAATGACTTCGGTCCATGCTTTGAGAAAATAGCATTAATAATACCAGCTCATGTACTTCTAGCTATAGTGAGTACATACCAAGGAGCGCAGGTGCATCGTAGATTCTCCAGTACTACTTCATCATTAAGGATGCCTTGGTTTGTTACACTACGACTGATTACTATTGTATTGTTGCTATTACTACCACTAGCTCAATTGATAGGGATGTCCATGGTCCTGGAGATTCAGCCGAGTATAGCAGACAGTGTGTATGTAGGTGTGGTAAGTGCCAGTTGGTTGTTACATGGTATATACACCTACCACCTCAAGCACATGTATTGGGAGACATATCGAGGCCCTCTGTGTGTGATACTCCTTTATCTCCTGACTTTTGTGTCTGATGGTCTCCACTGCTACAGTGTCATCAGAATACATATTTATAATTCTCCACTTCATAACTTAGCTGAGGAATATTGTGTTTACATAACTGTTTTCTGTCATCTTGTTTACATTCTCACTCTCAAATCAACTGGTGATCGACTTGTGAGTGACAGTTATCTTCGTCATAGTTTAAATATATCTCCCTCTGAAACTGAGCGCCTGATGTTTCCTGGGACGACTGATTATGGATCCATTACAAGTTCACAAGGAATGGTAACTGTTGCTGAGGACGGGTCATCATTTCTGTCAAAACTTACATTCCACTGGGTACAACCTCTCATGGTAAAAGGCTACAAAAAGTTAATAACGTCTGCATCTGATGTATACCTGCTGCCCAATAAACTTAACACAATGTATTTAGAGGAAAAGTTTATAAAAATCCTGACATCATCTAGACGAGGGACATCATTGTATGATTATGATGAAAGCAGTGAGGATACCCTTTTGACACCAAATGTCTACATCAGGCCTGGACAACAAAGAACCAGACAACAGGAAACCCCAACATTATTAAAGGCTTTACATAGAGCATTTGGGTGGGAGTATTATCTCCTTGGTATTTTAAAACTGATAGCTGATTGTGTAGGTTTTGCTGGACCGATGCTGCTAAATCTGCTAGTGACATATATAGAGAACAAAGATGAGCCGGAACAGCATGGATACTTGTATGCTAGTGGACTGTTGATGTCGACTCTCATTGGCGCTTTGTGCTCTAGTCAGTTTGATTATCATTGTCGAAATGTAGGGTTCAAAATGAGATGTGCAGTCATCACTACCATCTACCGGAAAGCATTGTCTGTGGGCAGTGTATCCATCGCAAAGTTTAGTACAGGTGAAATTGTAAACTTTATGAGCACTGATACAGACAGAATGGTGAATTTTTGTCCAAGTTTCCATGCCATGTGGAGTTTACCTTTCCAGATAGGAGTATCTCTGTATCTCCTTTATCTACAAGTGGGGCTAGCTTTCCTTGCTGGGCTAGGGTTTGCTCTCCTCCTTATCCCGATCAACAGGTGGCTTGCCAACAAGATAGGAGAGCTGAGTAAGGATATGATGGAACAGAAAGACGCCAGGGTTAAGGTAATGAAATCATTGAGGAAAATTTACGTAAAAAATATGTTATAAACTTCCATATTCAAAAGCTGAAGAGTATTCTGCTAACTTGTCGTTGAAAAATTATCTAGCAGAGTGAAAAAAAATACAGTTTCCTTACATGAAAACCTGCTATGTGTTGTTTAGTGAAGAGCAATCATCTTGAAAGGATATGTTTTATATGAGATGTCATTCCTGTAGAAAGAATATATTGCATTTTACCATTTGAAAAGAAATTTTTTAACATGATAAGAAGTCAGTTTATGATCTGGTGAACTCCTCTGTGTACAGATGATGAATGAAGTCTTGTTTGGGATGAGAATTGTGAAGTTCTACACCTGGGAAAACCATTTCCGTTCCGAGATCCAGAGGCTGAGAAATGCTGAGCTGAAGAGCTTAAAGGGACGGAAGTATCTTGATGCAATGTGTGTGTATTTTTGGGCGACTACACCTGTCCTCATATCTATACTTACCTTCACTACCTACTCACTGATGGGGAATCCCCTGACAGCAGCCAAGGTGTGTACTTCATATTCTAACCTATATTTATTTACAAATATACATGTTATGTAGGAGGAGACCTTTAATTTCTGGCCCCAATTTTAGACAGAACTATCAATAAAGCTTATAAGTTGTTCATATTTTCAAAAACCCATAAGTTCACTAGAAAGAACAGTTTATGATATATTGAAAGCAATTGCATTGTCAAAATGCACTTTTCTGACCAATAGAAGTTTTGAATATATATAAAAAAATGTGACAAATACATGGACCTGTATCTGTCAGGCAGTTTAAAAAAAAATTGTGTTTCTTTTCTTTGACAGGTGTTTACAAGTTTGTCTCTGTTTATGATGCTGATAAGCCCCCTGAATGCCTTCCCCTGGGTGATAAATGGTCTGATGGAAGCCTGGGTCTCCTTGCGACGTGTTCAGGAATATGTAGCCCTCACTGACTTGGACATGAGAAGTTATTACAAAACATCTGAGGGTATTGTGCATATTTTACAAATCCAGACACACTACTGTATACCATTGGTATACTGGCTTTATGTTTATAAGCTGGTCTAACTAATGTTCAGTTTTCAAATTGATCAATGAGAAATTTAGTTAAATTTACTACACTACTCCCTCCGTCACAAAGTCTTTGACCCCCAAGAAAACAACAACCCAGTATTGATATCTCCAAGGAAGCAACTCAATCTCCTATTGTTATGGCACCAGATGTGTAATAACAAGGAGTAATGGAACTAGCAACTTCAACTTGTGGGAAATTCCCACTAGTTCAGGCTAGTTAGGTGATGTGTACTTTCAACTTCTACACAAGGAATGCTTAAAACAGTGTTTGATGAAATATGAAAATATGCATTCCGATAATTGACAAATTAAGTCATATTTTATTCCATCACAAATCATTGAAGAAATAAGCCTACTGTAGGTTTATTCTTCTCTGCTTGATTAGTACAGTTATTTAAATGTTTACATTTGCTTTCAGATTTATATAGCGCTGAAAGAATGATATCCATCAAGTCAGGCAGATTTTCTTGGCAAAATGAGCAGACTTTATCCTCTGTTGCCCTTGGAACTAAAGAACTGAGAAACCAACCAGAAAATGGCACTGGTTCCAGCCAATCAGCACCTGGCACTGAGTCCAGCCAATCAGCGCCTGGCACTGAGTCCAGCCAAACAGAACATGACCCTGTGACTAGCCTATCAGGGACACTTAAACTTAGAAATATTAATATTGATATAGAACAAGTGAGTACAACCGTAATTATATTTAAAAACTTGTGTGAAATGTCAGTTGTATCAGGCGGGTGTCATCAATGAAACAGATAACACTTACTCTTCTGAAACATATGGTCTTATTCTCCATGTACAAGGTACAACAGCTATATCTGAATTTTTGTGTGTGTTAAAAATTAGCTCAATACAGTATACTTTTATTTTAAAAACATCAGTATCATATTTCAGAATTAAGCACATAGTCGCAATGTACAGTATATATGGCTCTTTCAAGAGATATATTAAAATTTTTAAAAATTCTATTCCTAAAGACATATATTATTGATGATTGAGTTAGCTCTTTGAAAAATCATATTGGATTTATATCCGATTTAGTTGGATATTTTCGCGGGGAAGTTTTTGCTGTTTCGTTATACATTGATGTGATTGCCAAAATATGATCCATGAAATGAGACATGTTTGTGTGTATAGATGTCCTTCTACATCAACATCACAAATTTCTTATTTGTTAAAAAATAATTTGATTGTTTAAAAAAAAATAGCAAATAATTTCACCCTTGAAAATTACCAGCTAAATATATAAGTTTTTTATTTGTGAAACCAGAGACCAGTGTGATGTTCAGTTTGTTCCTGAACACAATTAAACTTTCTTATGTACTAGGGTCAGTTGATAGGAGTGATTGGAAAGGTTGGGTCTGGAAAGAGCTCTCTGCTTCATGCTGTTCTGGCTGAGATGTGTCGCGAGGAGGGTCAGATCTCATTAAGAGATCTTCATAGCGGGTTTGCTCTAGTGGCTCAGGAGGCATGGATACAGCATGCCACAATACGTGACAACATCCTGTTTGGTCAAACCTTCAACACCAAGAAGTATGAGTCTGTGCTGGAGGCAGCAGCTCTCAATATGGACCTCAGGGTAAATATGAGTGATTCAGTCACAATAAGGTTAGCAATAAGGTTTCTGTTTTCTGATTTTTGTCATTTTTTTCTAATGATGAGTGTGGTTTTCCTAAACCTGTCAAAGAATTTTGCATATTACTAGCTACAAAAAAATGTGAATTAATTTTCAGATATCGCTTGTTATCCAATGAATTAGCACATTTTATAATTGTTTGTATACAGTATATATCGTGTGGTATGATAAACCCGAGAGTGATTTTCATCAGCTGTAATTGTCAGAAATCAATTGTGATGCCATATATGAACAATAGTGTTACATCAATTTGAAAACGTCAGAATAAAATTTTCTTGTAGATGCTACCAGCTGGAGACAAGACAGAAGTTGGTGAAAATGGTGTGACATTGAGTGGGGGTCAGAAGGCTAGAGTGTCACTGGCAAGGGCCTTGTATCAGGTATTTGTAAGAATTGGAGATCTCTATATCTTTATATATCATATATTGGGGTTCAGATGTAGGTGTCCCCTACCAATGGTGGCCGACAATAGCCTGACAAAATGATAGGAGTGTTCATATATTTTTGTACCATGTTACCCTTCTGTGTGATGCAAAAATATGTGAAAATTCACCTCTTCGTGTACCATTGTTGTTACAAAAGTATATATGGAGGCAGGAAAAAAAGTCTTGTTGCTTTGGTATGTTTCTGTACAAAAATAACGGCTAAAAACAGCCATGCTACAGAAACAAGTGAAACCATCAAACCAAAAGGTAATTACCAAGTAATACAAATGACACCCTGATAAAGCTGTTTTCATTTTATTGTACAGAATGTGTGTTACACAGGGGTATGTAACAATGTTTCTGGAGGCTTGTTTGGTATACCACAAGCCTCCCAAAAAACAACAACAATAAAAAACAATGTATATACTCCTAGTTTACCTACTGGATGTTTGTTTATTTTTGATAGGATAAAGAAATTTACCTATTAGATGATCCGTTAGCAGCAGTCGACGCCCATGTAGCGCAACATTTATATGAAAGATGCATTATGGGACTGCTCAAGAACAAGACTAGAATCCTATGCACACATCACACCAAATTTCTGGGAAAAGCTGACCTTGTTGTTGTCATGGATGATGGTGTTATCACTAACATTGGTGAGTCTTCATCAGCTTTATAGAGTTATGTCGGCATTTGTTTGTACATACTTGTATCACAATATCATGTACAATATCGATTAATACAGTGAAACACCTGCTTGATTAGGTTTTCATGATAAAGGTAAACTTAAAGGTCACCTGCTCATTGTGATACAGAAGCAGACTAACACTTTCTAACCTTCCTGCTGATGGTCATTTGTGATACAGGAATCCTAATAGACATGTATCATTATCCTGTTTAAGGTCCTCCCTCAGAAGTGCTTGTTGACATCAAGTTTGCAGAAAATCAGATGTCCGGTAAGGACAACGATGGAAAGGATGAGACTGACCAGTTAGATAGTGGTCAAGATGGGGCACTTGTTGGTGATGAGGAGAAGGAGACTGGTGTGGTCAAACTATCTGTGTACAAGTCATACTGGAGAGCTGTAGGCAACTGTTTAGCACCATCTGTACTCCTGGCTCTTCTCTTCATGCAAGGTTTGTTTCAAAGCATAGGTAAAACTTTATATTTCATGATATCGGCTACCCTTTTAACCTGTGAAATTTTGAAATTTTGAAATTTTTGTGTTGAACTGTCAGGAAAAGGCATGAAAATTAGAACATTTTAAGAAATTGACAGTTTTCTATATCTGAAACTCCTTTTCGGAAGAACAACACATATATGATTATGTGCTGAACGTTATTTTAATGCCAAATAGCAGTGTTACTCTAAATTTCATTTTGTATAAATTTAAATCTCAGGGTAAGAACAAACAATTGCAAGTATCAGACTTTCACAAACTGAAAATTCAGCTTTGACATTCATCTTGATTCAATAATTTCTTATTGACTATGTTTTGGATTCCATTTCACGAAATCAACACTGAAATAGAACATACATAGTATGCTTTTCATATTCTAGCATAATACTTCGTAATGCTTTTATATTTCAAAGAAGTTGATATCTCTGTTCGAATAGTACAGTTCTAGATAAACAAAGGAACAAAATAGATATCAAAATGTATGTTTTTTTTTTGTTAAATATTCTCAAAATGGTCAGTGATCTTTGTTTTTTATGTTTTTTCTCAAAATACAGATGAAATGCTTACAGATTGATGAATTCATGCAGCTTTATATGTGCATTTCTCTCATGAACACAAAAAATTAAGTAAACTTTTAATGCATCCTAAAGCATCCTCAGTTTTGATCAAAATGATGTGTTCCTCATAGTATGGTTTGTTCTGTTCTGTGATTGATGCGATTATCTCATCTCCGTCTTTTGTAACAAATGCATTCTTTTGTCAAATATGACACCACATATGGTAATGTACCCTTTTTTAGCCTCGAGAAACATCAATGATTGGTGGTTGTCTTACTGGGTGTCAAACAGCAACAGTACCACCAATGGAAACTCTGGCAACTCGTCCTGGTCCTCTTTGTCTAGTGGGGCCAGTTCTGGATCAGAAGTCACCTTCAGTGGGTATGTTGATAAAATAATAGCTCTCATATAATTGTAATTATCTTTCATGTGAGAGTATAAACAGTATCTATTGTAAAAATATACTTATGTGTAATCTACCTGTTGTTATAATGAAACCTAATTCAGTTACTGTAAATTACTTTATTTCAGTGAGTATTTAATTTTGCGGAAGAGAAGTGACTGTCTGATTCGTGAATACATGATTTTGCAGGAACTATACTTCAAAAATCATTTATTTAAGTACAAAATCAGCAAAAGTATGTTCCCAAGGGGTTTGAATTTGCAAATGATACTGCTTGCAAATAAATGTGAAATATAATCCCTTGTGATTATAAATGATTTACATTATCATGCAGTCTTTTGATATCAAACAGATTTGTTACCCTAGATAACAGTGATTTATAAATTTGAGAATTGGTTAATGATTTCAGACTGACCCTACCTGTGGATTCTGATTTAGGAGTGAGTAGTAACAATGCTACAAGCAGTGAAGATGACATCAGGTTTTACCTAACAGTTTATGGTTGTTTGGCAGGAGCCAACTCACTCTTCACCCTGGCCCGCGCATTTCTATTTGCATATGGAGGGATATGTGCTGCAAAAATCCTTCATCACAAGTTGCTTGAAAAAATCTTGCGGGTAAATCTACATTACACATCAGTACATCCATCCAATCTTACATTATAGCATGTATAGCATTCATCTTGATAAAAGCTAAAGAAAATGTGATTTTATTTACAGAACTAGGAGTGTACAATGACTGCATTGACATAATGTACAATATATAGCATATTTTGGTTGAGGATGGTATTTAATATTCAAATGAAATACATGGACTTATTTTTGATGTCTCACACACAGGCACTCGAGGCCAGGATATTATTTTTTAAACGTTTTTGATGTCTTTATTTTTGTTTTAGCACTGGTTATTTAAACGAAATATCACATAGGTAAATGTCTTCAAATTTTCATTTTTTTTCAGCATTTTCAGGAACCTTCTAGTATGTAGTTAAATTTTTGTGAAGCTCTAGAAAAAGCTTGATCAAGGAGATTATACCATTATAGCTTCATGTAATAGATGTGTTTAACTTGTAGATTCTTACTTATTTGTATAGAAATGACCTTGACCTACTAGTTTCAAATGTATGTAAACATAATACAAAGTCACTGATTGATACAGGAGAATCATTGCAGTAACATGTACAGTAGACATATAGCCTTCACTTTTACTGTGAAGGGTATAATAAACTGTGTATTGTATACATATATGTTATTGAGAATATTTAGGTTTTGACAGAAGGCTGGTCTTATTGAATTGATTGCAGCTACGCCCACTCTCAGGGGCTGCTGTGGCCAAGTGGTTAGGGCATTTGACTGTCTTTGTCATTTTCTCTCCTCCTCTGGATCGCAGGTTTGAGGCCATTGTTGGGTATTTGCAAGATATTGGCCACTGGTTGGTGGCTTTCCTACACCACACAAACCTGGCACATCCATAAATGACCCTGTATGCTTGTAGGATATAAAACAACAATCAACCCAACCACCCACTCTCACTGTGAAGAAAAAGGTTTGATTAAAATGTTTACGTATGTATCTATGTTTCAGGCACCTATGTCGTTTTTTGACATCACTCCCATAGGTCGGATCCTGAACCGATTTTCATCTGATCTCTATGCCATTGACGATTCTTTGCCCTTCATCATGAACATCTTCCTGGCCCAGCTCTATGGAATCCTTGGTACCATAGCCATCACATGCTATGGGTTGCCATGGTTCGCCCTACTTCTCGTTCCACTTGGAGCTATTTACTACAAAATACAGGTATAAGGCAATCTCTTTCTCTGCTTTGTAAAGCTAATGTATTATGATGATAAACTGTCATTTCAAGCATTAGTTTTCTGAACAAGATACACAATTTTGATTGTTTTTTAGGAAGGTAGATTTATGCTGGAAGCAGCTTGTTAGTCATCTGTACATCTCTGTGCAATTAGTTATGACAGATTTAGTATGTAATTATTGAGTCTATATGTAGGCCTTATATTTCTGTAGTTTGCTTAAACAGTGTTTACTGGTATATAATGATTTTCATACTTTGGCACAATTTTAGCACATCATCAATTTTTGGCAAATAAGCACAATGAAGAATTAGCATATTAATGAATTAGCACAGTGATACATTAGCATAGTGATGAATAAGCATAGTGATTAATTAGCACATACATGATGATTACTATATAAACAACTAACAGAAACTACAATTACCACAGTCATTTTTTAATGCTATACTTTCAGGCACGAAAAGTGCTGAATTAAGAATTTCTAAAATATTTTCATGTTTATAGTAAGTAGGATTGATAAGGAAGTGCATGTAAAATCTTCAATGTTTGTGTGATAAGAGTTTATTGTATTGAATGTATAATGTATTGGAGAGCAACTCATAGTGACTTATCCTAGATAGTTTAGAACACTGTAATAATGATATATATAATTTACTGATATACTGTTTTACTTGAATTCATAACTGTGTTGATTATTTGCAGCAATATTACCGCCATACTTCTCGAGAATTAAAGAGAATATCCAGCATTACACTTTCTCCTATGTATGCCCACTTCTCTGAGACAGTGTCTGGACTTGTCACCATCCGTGCCTTCAGGCAGACACCAAGGTCAGCGTTCGATCTTTTTTTTTTTTGTCGTTCATCATTCAGGTTACAGAATGTGCTCATGCTTACAGGGAAACAAATTATAATTCAAAATAATGTCTGATGTTGAGAGTGAGGCTCTGTTGTTTTCAATTTTTTGTAATTTGAAGTTGATGCTCTGAAACACATGTATATGCATATTCAGGTTTTTGGTTGGTTGAAGTATTGACTATTATAAAGATGATTGTTGAAAGGATGCCTGCTCTGATTTTTGTGATGTCTATTTGTAGATTCCAGACAGAGAATCTGCGTCGCCTTGACCTGAACCAGAGGGCTCAGTTTGTAGCAGGGGCTGTTGGAAGCTGGTTGGGGTTTCGTCTACAGATGATGGGTGTTATCATGGTGGCTGGGATAGCGTTCATCGCTGTCTTACAACATCACTTCCAATCAGTAAACCCAGGTACACCACTCAATACAAAGACTTCAGCTTCAAGCTGTACACTAGAAGCTGTGTATTTCGTATTATCGCTGACTGTTGTTGGTGCTGTAATTTCCAAGTAGGTTGTATTTGGTCTCTAAGGCTCAATGTCATAAACTGGTTGGTTTTTTAAGAAAATATGATCAAAATTGCTTGTGAAGTTCATGTTCGAAAGTGAAATGCAATCCTGTTTGTTAAATTATATTCAAATTCTGCACAAACTGACTAGAAACTGTTTGTCAGTATGTAGATTGATACACATATTTATCATACAATAAGCTTATGCCTGATAACAAACCCCCTGATATTTTTTATGGTTCATAATAGTTACATGCAGATCCATTGTTCTGTAAATGTCCAGCCCTTGAATCTGAGTCGAAGTTTAAACGTTTCTTTCCCGGGGTTTACTGAAGGATAAATATGGCCAAAGTTTTCCTTCTCTACGTTACTCTATCTTCATGAGCTGGCTATTGAAGGGAGATAACTGGCAAAAGTTTGAGTTCTTTTAAAATCCTGTAGGTCTCAGTTAAATTACAATGATTATACTTCTATCAGTGTTTTCTAATCTATTGGTAATATTATTGAATTAAATGTTTAGATATACAGAACTTGTTGAAATGGCAATAAAATGATAAAGAATTAAAATTGTTACTTTGTACAAAAAATTTTCGTTTATTTTTGTATTTGTATCTATGCATTTTGATTTTGTATAGGTCTTGTGGGTCTGGCCATTTCCTATGCCTTGTCCGTGACAAATCTTTTGAGTGGTGTTGTCAATTCCTTTACTGAGACAGAGAAACAGATGGTCAGTGTGGAGAGAGTTCAACAGTATCTTGATAACATTCCACAGGAGAGATGGGATGGCTCCCTATTTGTAAGTCATCTTGGTGAAATGCACTTGTTTTGTTTGTCTTCTGTTTTTAGGTGGAAGGCTCTCATCCTAGGGGTGCTATAAGGTTGGGGAGAGGGGGGCTTTCTGTTTCATACTTTCTCTAGGACTGAGATGTGAGAATACTCGCGCTTTGTAAGGCTTATAAAGATAGAAAGGACTTTTTTTTTTGTTTTATCCTTGATTTTTAGGGATAAGGGTTTTCTTGTTATAAGCCATTTCTGTATGGAGGGTGGGGTTGCTCTGTCCTTTGTTCATTGCAGGAATGGGAGGAGGAGAGTTTCCACTTTCTGAGTTTGTATTATCAAAGATTTGATGCTATTTCAGATATCTAGAGAAAACCATAGATATGTATGAACTAGGCAGTGAGGAAAGTGACCAATATCAGGATCACAGGAACAGTATGTAATGACATGTGTCATGATTTTAACATTAAAGCTTTCCTTTTGATGAGATATTTTGACTTTGATGCAGCCGCAGTCTAGCACATGAAAAAGTAAGTTGTAAATCCGTAGGGTTGTGAGATAGGAACACTACCTCCTGACATGATTCCCCTTGATTTAAGGTGTCTGTTTAATCCTCTCCTAGGTTTTTGTATGGGAGAGTTAGGAGAGCTAATAATTAATATTACATTGTAAACAGATCATTGTCTGTACTTAACAATTATTGGGTTCTTCCCCATCTTGACAATACTCCAGGGGTTACAATCACTTTCTCTGTCTGCACTCTGGAACATGTCATAGTAAAATCTTCCCCATCTTGACAATACTCCAGGGGTTACAATCACTTTCTCTGTCTGCACTCTGGAACATGTTATGGCAAAATTGAAGGTTCCATGGACAACAAGACAAAAAACACTAGTCTGACCATTTGATGTACATCAAACAAATCTCAAGGTAATGGCGTTGATCTATCAAATTACTTGTTCTTTCAATTTTGCCATGACCTGATCCAGGAGTGCAGAGAGTGAAAGAGATCAGGACCCTTGGAGTATTGAGTATACTACTATAGAGTTATAATGATTATAACGATTCGTTACATGATTTCTTTAGGTATCACAGACATGGCCAGAGTCTGGGTTGATCAAGTTTAAGGATGTACACCTCAAGTACCGACTTGGCTTACCTGATGCTTTGAATGGAATCTCCTTCAGTACATACTCAGCGGAGAAACTTGGCATTGTTGGGCGTACTGGGTCAGGGAAATCTAGCCTCTTTCTGGCACTGTTTCGCATTGTAGAAATAAGTCATGGAGAAATTCAGATTGATGGGATGAATATTCAACATTTGGATCTTACGGATGTGAGGTAGGTCACACTGGTTGTGGGTAATGTATGGATGTGAGGTAGGTCACACTGGTTGTGGGTAATGTACGGATGTGAGGTAGGTCACACTGGTTGTGGGTAATGTTAGGATGTTAGGTAGGTCAGACTGGTTGTGGGTAATGTACGGATGTGAGGTAGGTCACATTGGTTGTGGGTAATGTTCGGATGTGAGGTAGGTCAGACTGGTTGTGGGTAATGTACGGATGTGAGGTAGGTCACACTGGTTGTGGGTAATGTAGGGATGTGAGGTAGGTCACACTGGGTGTGGGTAATGTAGGGATGTGAGGTAGGTCACACTGGTTGTGGGTAATGTACGGATGTGAGGTAGGTCACACTGGTTCTGGGTAATGTACAGATGTGAGGTAGGTCACACTGGTTCTGGGTAATGTACGGATGTGAGGTAGGTGACACTGGTTCTGGGTAATGTTAAAGATACACAAAACTGCTCATGATTGTGAGTTAGATATGTGATTGATTCATGACATACATTACAACTTACAACTCTGACAACCCACCAAACTATCCAGAGAAGAAGAGACCTAGAGTAGAGAAAGACTCAGAAAGAATTAACATCCTGGCCAACATAGAACCACACTTTAGAGTGTATAGGAATTTATCAGTCCTGTTGAAAAGATGTAAACATCACATTGAATTCCTATTTACTTTTTAGAACAAAGTTTTCTAGCTGCCCTGTAAGAACCTATTGCTTGGTGGAGATGTATAGACAAAATATTTTTCATATGGCCCGACACCCAAGAGGAATTAACCTCCTTCTTATAGGCCCTTAACTCTAGGTTCTTGAGCAAAACCTTGGACAGTAAAAGCAGGAGAGCTAAAAGATAACACTGGTTATGATATTTCATTACCATAGTTTTAATTGATAACTGCTTCAAACTTTAAAAGAAACATGACCTGTGTGAACATTAAGGCTCTCACCTGCCCTTGAGAATTGTCTATTGTACATTATATCGCAGTTAACAATTAAAAGTTTTCTTCCTGAAGAATACTTCAGAGGGTTTCCGTCAGCAAAATTTGTCCTGATGAAGCCTCTGTGATAGAGGTGAAACTAGTAGACAGATTAAACACCCATCTACACGTAAGCTGCAGTTAGTTTCTTCTTCATCATAACATTCAAGTGTGTGTTGAAATGATTAAAACCACTGGTTGGTTGTGAGGTCGTAGAATACTGACATTGGATTACGGTGACAATAATGACTGATACAAGATTTCTATAACTGTGTTGATGGATTTGTCCTGTATTGATGTATGTTCAGTTGACAATTGCTGAAATATTTGCTTTAAGATTTATCAGTAGGCTTTATAGAGGAGACAGATGTTTTAAAACATTTGCCGAGCTAAAAAATAAATGACCATGAAAATATGTTTGATGTGGCGATGATTTTGATTTGTGAAACATTTTAATTTTTATTAGACGACATCTGGCTGTGATTCCTCAGGACCCATTCCTCTTTAGTGGTACCGTCAGGGAGAATCTCGACCCCACGTCTTGTTACAGTGACGAGGAACTGTGGGGTGTCCTGGACAGATGCCACCTTCGCCTACCTGTAGACAGACTTGGAGGACTCGAGGGGGAGGTGGCAGAAAAGGGACGGCACTTTTCTGTTGGTCAGAGGCAACTTATGTGTCTGGCAAGGGCACTTCTTACCAAAGCAAAGGTGGGGAAATTCTGAAGTTCTGAAGTACTAACAAATCTGTTTTAGAGTTGTTGAGAAAAGAGCAAAGTTTGAACAAAAGAAAGGTGTGCTTGTAGAACCCTTAGAAAGAATGATAAGACAAATAAAAAGCAGCTGCTTATGAAGATTTGTTTTCTTCTCTGTCATTGGCATCCATATCATGTAGAATTTTATTGTATTTTCTGCTCTGAAGGACTGCTCAGAGTTTGTGTCATACATGAACACAAAGTTTATAGCAAACGTTTTCTGATAATGGTTAAGCATAAACTATCAATAGATGATAATTTTGGCTTGATCAGAAAATAAAACAAAACCAGTTTGTTTGTATTTTGTATCTGAACCTTGCTGTGGACATGTGGTTTATCATGTTGATAGTGATATGGATATGTAATCGTTGCTTTCATCCGTTTAAGGTACTTTGTATAGATGAAGCTACAGCCAGTGTAGATCTGGAGACGGACATGCTGATACAAGAAACAATCCGCCAGGAGTTTGTGGAGAGTACAGTGTTGACCATTGCCCATAGAATCAACACCATAATGGACAGTGACAGGGTGTTGGTGATGGACCAGGGTCAAGTGGCTGAACTGGACTCTCCGAGGGTCCTGCTACAAAACTCGCACTCTTTGTTTTACAAACTGGTACATGGTGAAAGTTAACACCAATTTAAAGTAGCTGTTTCAACAGATCTCATAGCCATCAGAAAATTAAGATTTGAACCTGATTATAGAAAAGATTTTAAATGACACATATATAGGAAAAAGGCATTATGCATATGAGAAGATGTACAGATTATCAATTATTTTAAGGGTATGAGAAATCTTTTAGGTTTTAATCAAAACATTTGCTTACTTCTTAAGCTTTCTAATTTTGTTTATGAATCATGACATTCAGTGCATTTTATCTACTCTAAATTTACAGCAGAAATCCAAATTGATATGATAGCTTACAAGAAGGTTAGACATAGAAATGATTAAATTCTGGCCCCTTCTATTGTAAAGTGATGACCAGATGTGGTGTATACTTTCAAAGTGTTATAGGAAACTTTATCTTCTTACATTAAAATTGACATACTGAAATATTGTAGCTGTCTACCTACATATATACATATATACAGGTTTACCTGAAAAGTGTCTCATATCAATGAAAAACACACCTACAAATACATACACGTGTGTAATGTTTTTACAGGTGGACATGCATTGAAACCAGTGATAAAGATTTTACAAAAGGGATTTTATATAAATAAAAAATTATGTTGCTACATGTAATTATCATACGGAGCCCGTTAACTGACATGCTCCATACTTATTTTATTTCGTTTTTTCGAAATATTATTTCGTTTAAACGAAATATTAATTCGTTTATTAGAAATATTGTTTCGTTTTTTCGAAATAACAATTCATTTAAACGAAATATTATTTCGTTTTTTCGAAATATTAATTCGTTTTTTCGAAATATTATTTCGTTTTTTTGAAATAATAATTCGTTTTATCGAAATAATATAAGTATGGAGCATGTCAGTTAACGGGCTCCGTATTATCATCACTTACTGCAGGTATATTTATGTTATATATATGTAATGTTCTTTGTCTGTGATACATATTTATCTTTAAAATCGTTTGATAATTTCACATAACTTAGTGTAAAGGTATGCTACTGGGTGTTTCTAAACTGATATTGATAGAAAGTTACACATAGTGTGTGGTTTGACATTTTAGAATATTTCTTCAACAGTTAAGAGGGACCAGTGTTGGGTGTGGATACCCAAAGGTATTCAGGGCGATGAAACAATATATAAAAATTAATCCAAGTTAGTATCAGTCACAACACACCCCATGTGTTATCGTCAGTCTATGGGTTATTCATTTGCTCACTAATTTTGCCTTAGATGTGAGGCTCCATCAGGGCACGAATACATAAGATTTTGTCTTTGAAGTACTGAAGTACTGTATGAGTGCCCTGATGAAGCCTCGCATCAGAGCTGAAACTAGTCGATCAGTAAATATAGATATCCCACTCACTAGTGGCACTCAGTGTGTGTTGTGATTGAAACTTAACATTGATTGCTTTGCGTATTGTATTATAAGTACAATAATCACCTGTGATGTAACTGTATCTATTGGTGTATTTAAAAATGTTAAGGAAAATACATGGGTGCTTAGCACCTGAATCAGCATGATACCTATGATTGTAAAATCGATGTTGTTGCTAGGAGTATCCATGACTGCACTGCACTTGCCCCTTTAAAAAGGTGGTTTTTACGTACGGAAGTTTTCTCTGAAATATGTTCTTGTTCATTCAAAGAGGTATCTAGATAAATATTCACTCAAATACGCTTATTTTCTACCTCTCAAATGTGTTGTGATCTGCTGGTGAAATCACTTTCAGCATGTTAACCGAATTTATAGTACATAATGTACATTTTGTATGTCAGACAACTTTAACAAAAGAAGTGCAATGAATGGGATGAGAGTAAAGTTACTTATACATGAATGAAGCCTGACTTGGTTTTAGAATTTTCAAACTGTCATTGTCATAGATAATTCAGCAACTTGTACATTCTGGTCACTGTGATTTAATTAGTCCATATCTTCTAATTAATAGTATTTATGGGAGATACATATGTAAATGTCTGGTTTTATGGTGAGTTTCCTTACTTTAGGAATGGTTTGGAAAACTGTGACCAGGAAAGTGCTTATCAGAACGACCAGGTGATAATGCATCAATATTTTTTTTTTATTTTTACATAATTACTCCAAATCATACCTTTAGTAACATGAAACTGCTTCAAATTATATCTGTCATGTCTGGTTTCATTTTTTAAAAATATTAGCTTCCAGTGAATTTGAAGTGCAACCAAACAAATGAATCAATGTTTTATATATGTAGAAAAGGTATAAAAAAAAGTATTTGTAGCATTAGTTTTGGAAGAGTTCAAATTGTGAACGTAATTGGTGGAAAATATCAAAAGAAACGTCTACTTTCAATTTTGTCTGCGCATCAGGTCATAAAGGTAGATTGTGTACGTTCAAAATGTCCAAACTGAGATATGTGCTTTATTTATTTATTTATTTTGTATTTTATATTTTTTTTTCAAAAATCAATACCTTTAGACAAGGTAGTTTAACTACTTGTTTGGGGGACTCATTGGATTTTTGAAATAATGAACTTGGTTCAATTTTGAGAGTCCTTTGGAGATTAGGGTTAGATAGACTTTTTGTAAAAAGTGAGCATGACAATAGATATATGTTGGAATAGAATACTTGAATTATGTAAACGTTTTACTTGTAATACTCATGTGCATTCATAAGAACAAAAAGGATAAATTATACTTAAGAAATGTGAAGTTTTTGTGTTTTTTTTTTTTACCATTTTATAGTGCTATCTTCAACAAAGTACTGTGAAAATATCTAATTTCAACCATTTGACCAGTTTGAATTAGGTTGAAACTATTTTCTTTATGTTGTGCATCGCCAATAGGTGGCGTGATGGTCTGAGATTTACATGTGCAAATTCATACCTCGTGTTACCTGTAGGTGTCATTCAGGCAACACAGGTAGTGACAGACAGACACTCTTTATATTACTTTTGTTTTCTTAACTGTGTAGATTTGTTGTTGATATCCTCTTAAAATAGTTATACAACAAGTAATTTGGAAATAATATTCAGTATTTGATCTGTTAAGCTATGGTTATGCATTTTTTCTTGCAGGTGCATATACATATATGCCTTTTTTGTCTATGAAGCATATTCTTGTTTGAAAATGAATTGATTTATTTAATAAATCAGTCGCAATGTCTCAGTCGCAGTGAAATACATTTTTGTATTTGTTGTTGTTTGTCCTCTTGAATAATTGAAAAGAGAATTTACTTTATACACTATATATAATGTTCTCATTATGTTTCACATATCACTTGTATTATGTTTTAATCACTCAATACAATAACACTAGTATTATGTTTTAATCACTCAATACAATAACACTAGTATTATGTATTAATCACTCAATACCATAACACTAGTATTATGAGAACCACAGTTGGAATTTTTTATCTAGTGTATAAAATGAAAGAAAAAAAAAAGAGAAAACAGTGTCTCTGTTCTAATATATATAGATATTTATATGTACAATATTTTCTCTTATTAAGAAAATTGTCATCTTATATGGGTCCTCTTTTTCTTGCGGTTTTTGAGGGTGAAAGAGGATACTTTAAATATACTTATAGTGTTTTTTTTCAATACTTAGGTGAAAATATGTACCATTGGCATAAAGCTTTTGGTAAAATTACAAAAACTGGAACAAATGGAATCAACATCTATTACAGTATTCCCTGCACTAAATATCAGATTTCCAGGTGATCAAATATTATACATATATTTAATGATAATAAGTAGTTTTATTTCATATATTCTTCTGATTCTAGGTCTTCTTTTTAAATTTCAAGCTCGACATAAAGTTACAATGAATTTCAGTTTGTGCAATATGTTAGTAGTTTTTAATTCAGTGTTTTTTTTGTCATTTTCATGCCAATTTATCTCCAATTTTAAGTGATAGCAATAGATTCCATTTTGTAGGTACATGTATTTTGAAAATAAATTATTTGATGCTTTAAACCAATACTTTAATTTTCTTTTAAATGTTAAAGCTAGGTTCCGCAGCTTCTGTTTGTTCATTGAGAAAATGAATGGTTGTAGATGATTTTCTTAGCCTTATAAAGCTACAAGCTTGCGATGATTAAGAAAAGTCATCGTTAATATTGCAGATGGTGACAGAAAAAAGAGTGGTTTCATCTATGAAACAGAAACCATCTAGCTTCTTGAAAACATATCTTACTATCACTGTTCAAGAAATATTGTTTATTTCACATCTAAGATTCTCTTGGTCTCTAGTTGTGTCGTTTGATTTTGGGTTTGATCAGAAAAACAAAATGGCCGACAGGCGGCCATCTTGGATTTCGCCCAGTACAGTTTGTTATTGGTATTTCTTGAGAAGTACTAAATGGACCTGTATGTCGTTTGCAAAATCTTTTAAAAACATGTTGCACTGTTGACGATGATTCGGCGATATACGTCTCTGGGGTTAATAAGTATGTCAGAACTTCGTATTAAATCTACAAAGATTTTGTGTCCCCAGGTGATCGGGTGAAATCAACACGCGCGGTGTGTTTGCATAGTTACCGTCAAGTACCCTGTTTAATGGTTTCTTGAGTGTGTCAAATGTTTTGTCTGTAGACTTTTTTATGCTAAATCTTAAAAATCAAGTGGTTTTGTATTTATAGAACATTAAAGGTACGTACATGACCTGTAACAAACATAGGGTCGACTTTAGTCGTCATAAGGTTTAACACTGTCAACAGAACCAAATCGTATGATGTCACACTTTTGTGACGTGGCAATTTAAAGCAGTGTTGAACATGCACGATTTAAATGGAGTGTTTTTACATATTCTGTGTAACTTACCAATATGGATATTAATGAAAATCGATTTCATACTAAACAAAGGTTTTGTTTGAACAAAATTTATTGATTTAATTCAGTATATACAATAACGGACAATTCAACACAGTGAATTAAAAAAGAAAAACTTACAGACATATACTAATTTGTCTTCTCATCCAATAAACTTTCACAAAGTACAGCTGCCATGGTAACCCGCGGAAATACATTACGTTGTATGAAAACGAGCCCAACACAACAACTGGTCTGTAGGCATTTAAGTATATGCATTATAAAACCAAACGATTTGGCACGAATATTATATATCAATTTCATACGGCGGAGACAGCCATACAGTGGTATCTTTGTGATAAATGTGTATATATCTATTACATACTATCTATTAAATAGTATGACAGGTCTACATGGCACAACCCAGACTAGATCTGGGAAGTAAAAATATCGCTTTTAAATCAGACTACATATCTAGTTCATTATATTTCGTCTGAATCCTTCTCCATGCTCAATCGTGTCCTTTAGGAACCAGTAGGACAAACATACACCTCCGAATCAAATCAGTTCGGTGCCAAAATTTGTCAAGGTTGTAAATTTTCACATTGTATTAAATACTGGATACGCTTTAATACAATGGTGGTGGGTGTATATAATTGATTAGAGAGGAACGAGGCGTTTACTTTCCTAATGAATTGTCTGAACAGCCTTAGACATATCGGGATTATCTGCTACGATACTCGCTGAATCATCACCACATAAAACGATTAAAGTATAAACTTATGGTAGGAAGATTATACTGACGACATGGGACGCTATATTAGAACTCAAGAAGATAAATCTGAACTGATTCAATTAAACTACAGGAACACACTTGGATTTTCAATAAGAATGTTTTTTTTGGAAAGACGTTCTTAAGAAGAATTTCATTTTAAACGATCATGATCGATTTGTCCCGTATGTCTATCAACATTAAAGTACGAGGGAAGCTTTAATTTATCAACATTTATGTGTAATTTCAACGATGAAATGGAAGAATTGTCTTTTTTATCACAGAGGCAAATAAAAAAGGGGTTTACCATGAAATAATCTGCATACAGTGCTTAATGTATAAATCAGTTTCTTACTAAGTGGTGTAACGATACTGTAATGGTTTTAAGCACGTGTCATTTGTACATTAATTAACCGATTGCACTCTGCAAATTCGTGACAATTTGACCGATGACAAAATTGTATCCCATTTGCTTCATTCTGATTGGTATTAAATCATATCATTAGGACCATGACCTTTTCTATATCGTTCATCATATCGGTCCACAACTAATACCTGTTGTTTGATAGATAACGATATCTCAGTTTGATAACATAATACAGGAATAACCACTATGATATAGCATTATCTGTCTTTATGATAACTATCTAGGCACATCCTGGTTCAAGGCATGTTAAAAGTGGCGTTTCTCTGTCAAGAGATAACACCGGTTTGACGACAACGACCTGGGTCAACGTTGATGTATATATTCATGCTCAATTGATAGGGTCGGAGGTTTTGTTATATAAACCTGATTCACAGTTTGAAACGTGTCATTGCATCTCTGCATTAGACCAGATCTATATGGGGATGTCATAGATGTTACTAAAAAGCTTATACTATTGCGGTACATATTTGTCCTCGTGTAGCTCGAGTTTGAATGAATGAAGACTCTCTCAACACGTCAGAGTTTGCATAGCTATTTAGTTAAGCCATTTTTCTGTGGGGTATGTGTAGGTGTTAATCGTTATATACTCTAAATGATAATAATACATTTAAACTTTCCGTATTCTGTGTTAGTATACGATATAAGTGTCATATACTTAAGTATAAGAATTTCTAATACCCCAGACAAAGTGAGAACTGCAAAGGTTGGGGCCTTAGGTCTGGTCCCATACGAATACTGTCGTTTACAAGATAGTTCTAATAATTGTCTTTCGTAAATTACCATACACTATTTACCTTGCTTTCAAGGATGGGATAGAGAAGAAGAGGTGTGCTGAAAGTTTCGCTCGACTTGCTTGGATAGAACTTTTACATTTACATAATGACAGTCACTCAGTGATATATTCAATTATAGCTCAAATAATTCATCAGATCAAATCCGTTATTATATCCTCGATACTTAAAGAGTTATGATTACTTTCGCTCTCGGCACCTATACATTTCCTGGCCAAATTGAAGGATAGGCGAAGTGATTTGATTGGTCTATAGCGTGTTTCAGGAGAAAGGACCAATTACAGACTGAATATTACAAAGGGGCGACTTTCAACTCTAAAGCCTGTACTACATACCGTTATCCGACCCCGATATGCGCTTGATGTACATCAAAGGATCAAACTAGTCTTGTCCAGAATGGCCGCACATGGACCTGAAGTCAGTTTTGCCATGAAATACTCCAGGTATGCAGAGAGCGACAGTGAGCGTAACTAATGGAGTATAGAGGATGTCGTTATCAAAATAGAAATTACAGTATATCCGTTTGTGTATCCTCTTCCCAACGAGCTTTCAGAGACGGATAATGGAAATGTAAAATCCGACGTTAAACCTGAAAAGAGAGGTCCTGTAGGCGTTGTCGACAATATTTCGGGAGCAAAGTTTGGTGTGTTATCAGGTACACCTTTTTTTCCTGCTGTTTGATTAAAGACCTTCCAACCGTACCATATATCAATGTAACAAGCCTTCAATACCTGATATATCAATATAACAAATACACATACAAGGAAAATGGTCGACACATCAGTCAGTATACTGTTAGCTGTCAAAATTCAACATATTCGAGAATCACTTCTGAATCAGGAGATTAACAATCACCGTATCGTTTTCCGAAATCCGATATTCCAACGTTATGGACTAAAGAAAGCAGATTCGTGAAGGTTGTTCCTATTGATCATTTGGCCAATGCAGAAGTTGGAATGACTAACACCGCATCCACCAGAAGCAAAGTTGAACTAATAAGTTGGAGCCAAGTTATCCACTTAAAAAGGTCATACGATACTTTTTACCCCGACAATGTTACTGCAAAAATATGTACCGAGTGTTTGTAAGAAGAACAAACATTGGAGAATGATTATGATGATGAAATTGTGCCCGCATGACTCAAATGTTCTCTCCGTGAACTAGCTTGTAGAATGCAGACTCCGGGTTTTTTAGAAGTTTTTCTGGAGAGTCCAGTTCAGCCACTTGACCCTGGTCCATCACCAACACCCTGTCACTGTCCATTATGGTGTTGATTCTATGGGCAATGGTCAACACTGTACTCTCCACAAACTCCTGGCGGATTGTTTCTTGTATTAATTTGTCTGTCTCCAGGTCTACACTGGCCGTAGCTTCATCAATACACAACACCTGGAGTGAAAAGGAACAACGAATAGAAAATTTGAATTGAAATGATCATTTTTATTGTCAAAATCGAGCAAACGGACACGAAAATATTAAGTTATATTGGTTATCAAAAATCGCTATTTTTGTTCCCTAACATTAAAACAATATGCAAAGCAGAAACGTCCTCATTATCGTTATGCACAGCAAGTAGTAGGTCGAGACAATGCCATACTTACTTTAGATTTCTCAAGGAGCGCCCTTGCAAGACACATGAGTTGTTTCTGTCCTACAGAAAAATGTCGTCCTTTTTCTCCCACCTCTCCCTCGAGTCCTCCCAGTCTGTCTACAGGTAGGCGGAGATGGCATCTGTCAAGGACACCCCACAGTTCCTCGTCACTGTAACAAGACGTGGGGTCGAGATTCTCCCTGACGGTACCACTAAAGAGGAATGGGTCCTGAGGAATCACAGCCAGATGACGCCTGAAATTGTATACAGAATAACCTTCAAATTGTGGATGAATTCCAAAGTATAGTGACCATGTCATTAAAAGTTTCTTTTTGTCCAGCAGAAGCTGTCGCTATTTTAGTCTTCTAATTTCATAGAATAGAATAAAACGAATAAAACGAGAATATACCACTGTTACTATTGTTCTTGAAATGAAATAAAAAAATTAGAAAAGGAGAGTGATTTTTTATGAGAATTGTACGGAAGACACACATGTGAATACCAGTGAATCAGATACAAAATACACACACACACACACACACACACACACACACACACACATACATACATACATACATACATACACACATACATACATATATCTGTTTCGTCCTTCTAGGACTACTCAATGATGCCAATAGTCCGGTTTTTTTTAAAAAAAAATCTTTGAGGCGACTGAAGAAAAGCAAACATTGAAGGAAATATCAAAATCTAGATGGGGAGGTAAACGAACGTCGGGTACACTTATATCATGATAACATTTACCTGACGTCTTTGAGATCCAATTTCTGTACGTTCTCTCCATCAATGGTAATAACACCAGAGCTTATCTCTACAGTACGGAACAATGTCTGGAAGAGACTTGACTTCCCGGACCCTGTCCGTCCCACAATTCCCACTTTTTCCGCATGGTGAGTGCTGAACGTGAGACCTTTCAGTACAAGAGGTAGCCCATCCCGGTACTTCATATAGACATCGTTATAAGTGATAACTCCTGCTGCCGGCCAGGACGGTGATGGCTATAGCAAAACATATACCCATATACCATATTGAATAACATTCAAGTAGGTTGTCATATGTTAATATTTCGATGTTTCAGAAAGAAAAAAGAAAATTTCTGACTCACCTGTAAACCTTTCCATTTCTCACTGGAAGTGCTTTCTATATATTGGTGTACTCTCTCAACACTGACCATTTGCTTTTCCACTTCCGTGACACAGGTAACCACTCGGTTAAGTCGACCAGACAGTGTCAGGGTGTAAGAAATGGCAAGTCCCGCCAACCCTGTGATATATTGACAGTGACATTTAATATTCTGATGTATCTTAGCATAAATAATTTCATTAGAATTCATTCTGAAAACATAGCCATTGAAAGAGAGAAAGGAGATGATACCTGGATCAATGCGAAATATGCTGTGTTCCAATAAAGCCAAAATAGAAATTCCAGTCACCATGAAAATGCCAACGACTTGCGTCCGTAGTAGGAGCCAAATATTCATATTATGGGCTGTATAATGTGCTCTCAGCCACTTCTCCACACGATCCATATGTTGGGTTTTAAATCTGCAAGGTTCATTATAATGAATTTAGTCACTGACAGATAAAACTGACCAATCTGACTGATTTCAAGTACCATTTTGTTGAATACTCGTTGAAATACAACGGTGATTCAAAACTATTGCTAGTATAGATATAATGCAAGAGTATATTATCTCTTATTGAATGCATTATCAAAAACACAGAACACCCCGAACCTTTCTGTTTCTCGAAATGCCCTGATGGTGACCGCTCCCGAAACTGTCTCTGAGAAATGGGAAAAGATTGGCGAGCGATTTAGGCTTGTTAATCGCCTAACCTCCCGAGATGTGTGTCGATATCTCTCCTGTAAACAAATAGCAGAACGAGTGACCATTTATGGAATAGGAACTAGTGAGTTAAAGAATGTTGTTTTCACCAAAACTATACATAGGGAAAATCCAGTGTCGTTGTTCAAGTTTTTCGTGTTGTTATTGGGACACTTAATGTTATATGTACTTATAACGATATAAAATATGTACATAGCTATTCTGACTGTGCCATACCTGTATCTGGTAGTAGATCATTGACACGGGCAGTATCAGAAGGATGAACCAGGGCATGCCATAACAAGCGACAGCGATACCTGCTACCACACCGGACAGTTGAGATAGGACAACCTTGACCATGTTGCTGATTGGTTCGTCAATGGTGTCCATATCAGATGAAAATCTGTTTAAAATTCGGCCAACAGGAGTCACATCGTAAAACGACATCGGAGCCTGCAAACAACCAATAACCCTGTCAACGAAAAAAATGTGATGGTATCGTCAAAGGGAATGATCAAATTGATCCTTCTATGTAATTACATAGCATAAGTATCATATGAAATGTATTCTTTTTGCATATACTGCGAAGCACTCACCTTCAGTATAGTATTGAGCAAGTCACTATGTATGGTCTTAGCAACACTCATCCCAGCATAGACAATGAGGATTTCTCTTGCTAGCGATGAAATAGCATAAACACAGGCTAGACATAGGTACACCATCATGTAGAATCCCAGACTAGTTTGGTTGAGCGTTATATGGCCTGTCGCGTCATATTCCTGATAGAAGCTGAAGTGGAAATGATCATATGTACTGTAACCTAGGTGAAGTATAACATTGATCAAATGATTGCCTGCTATTCATGAAGTACTTATATATCGTATTTCTACGAATTAACTACTTGACATGCTGGCAGATAATGTTAGTTTTTCTTGCTTGACCTCATAATGTTAGCATGTTGTGAAACATAAAACACACACAAAAGTGTAATTCTTTAAACCCTCCGGGAAAAAAATCTTGACTGTGTAATAAAATGATCTTTCAGTTTCCAAGTGATACAAGAAACTGGCAACAATTTTGCTTTCACGATATTGGCTAGAATGGCGTAAATTACAAGACTCTCTTTATCAGCCTCATACGAATGAAAAATGAAACTTCAAATAGGACCCTATGGAGAGGGCAATTTACGTTCAGAAAAAGATATCGTTATTAAATTGTTCATAAAGCGTCGTACCTTTTCGGTGTAGACATATTGTCATGGAAACAGCGATGTACGGAAATAAAAGTGTTGTTGTTTTCAAAAGTCATGCTGGAAACCCACTTCGTTAACCACCAGCTCTTCAATTTCTCAAAAGCTGAATAATGTTCAAATTTTCATGATTTTGATTTCAACTTGCTTTACGAAGATTTACAAAAGACACGAAAGTGAATGGCAGATTTTAATAGTTTGGAGTTAGATACAGTAGAGACAAACAATGATTTAAATTATACCATACAGCTGTTTTGTCCTTCTGGGACTAATCAAGGATGTTAAGGGTATAGATTTTGAAGCCTAAGAGGCAACTGAGGAAAATCCAAAGTTTTCGAAAGGAAAGTCAAAATCTAGACTGGGAGGTGTAGCAGCCCATAATTAGATAAATTTCGTAATTTACATATGTCAGATAATATATAAAAACGTCGAGTACATGTGTATGAATTAAAACGGGACATGCAGGTTACGGCAAATCTCCGGGACATCCTTTTACGTTACCATATTAGTAATAATTATACAGTAATTAAGGTATTAAGAAAAAAAGTGGTCGATGAAATGTTTTCACAAACAGAAATTTGCGCTTTTGCTTGATTGAAACCACTGTTAACCACCAAATCTAATGCAATTCAAACTATGCAAGATTCAGTCTTCAACATTTTATATCTTGAAGCAATATTTATGCTTTTGAACTTATACAATTACAGCAATCGATGTAAAGAATCAAACGGTCGGACGTACCAAATTACACTTTGTGTTGACAGTATATTAGAGAGACCTATATCGGAAAGGAATGCATAACATTACCTTGCATTAAGACGAAAGACACCAAAATGGCTGGAGCTAACCATTTATCGAGCGCCGCCAAATAGGTCTTGTACACCAAAAGTTTTACTTTGCCAGTGGCCTTGGTTTCTTCTCCAAGCGTTCCGTCATTGTCGGTATTGCCAATTTCACCGAGATCCAACTTGTTTTTGTTGGATGGTTTGTGTTCAGCAAATTTTATATCAGGAAGAATATCAGAGGGAGGACCTGTTAAGATGTATTTCGAAAAAAAGATTACGTTGCAAAGCGGTTGGTAGAGTCGGACATTTAAATCATTCAGTATAGAAATACACGTGAATGTATGAGATAGATGTGCATATTATCTTTGTCTGTAGTATCTCATGTACGAGAAAGTTTGGGTTTGCAGTTCGTATAATATTTGAGATGCAGAAATGTTGTAGTTGACCTGTAGAGTGTGTAAGGTATGTTTTGCTTGTAGATATTAAAGTGAATTTGGTATTCTGAAAAAATGCATGTGCTAATTAATTGATTACTTTGAATGAACTGATTATTCCTTAACACGTTTAAAATATTTTTACAAACTTTTTTTTAAAGCGTCTATGATTACGAAAGCTTACAAACCTAGACACCCAATATCTAAAAAAAATCTCACCCATTTTTAAAATAACTCCGTCATCCATTAGTATAACCAAATCTGCCTTGCCAAGAAATTTTGTGTGATGAGTGCATAGGATTCTGGTTTTTGTCTTGAGTAACCCCATGATGCATTTGTCATATACATGTTGTGCCACGTGAGCGTCTACAGCAGCTAATGGGTCGTCAAGAAGATACACGTCCTTATCCTAATGACAGAGTGATTTAAAATGCTGAGTTTGCATCTCATAAAAATTAGTATGAAGTAAAAACATATCGGTAAGATTTATATCATTATTCAGATATCAATACACATCAAGATTTTATCACAATTATTGAACAAATATCACGTGTTATTATATGGCGCCAATACTACACGTTACCAATGTTAAACAAAATACGGCATTGAAAACTTCGGATGATTACTCAGAAACAAAACTGTAAAAACATAATTAGACGGGCCTAGTAGAAGTGCATGTATCCTACACACTGGATAATTTGGAGAACACTCGACATTTTTTCTCATTTCTTCAAATGTACAATTATACATATATCTAGATTCCTTATTCCTTCCGTGTGTTCCTTGTGTTTTACGTCTTTCTGTTGGTGATCATCCTTCAGAGTTGTCCTTGCTTTTACGCAGCCTTGCCAGATATTAACTGGTCAAATGGTAACATACAAAACCACCAGTCGTATGATTTCAATTGTAATTTACCTGATACAAAGCTCTAGCAAGTGCTAGTCGAGCTTTCTGACCTCCGCTCAGTGTAACGCCATTCTCACCAACTTCTGTCTGGTCTCCAGCTGGTAAAATCTAAATGTATATATAAAAATGTATCAGCGCTTCAGAAATTGAAAATGAGGTTTGTTCGAACTGTCAAGTGAGTTATACAATTATCTTAGCATAATTAAAAAACAATTGGATCTACAAATGATTTGACTTTTTTAAACATAATCCATACTTACCGAGATATCTTTCTTGAGAGAAGCTGCATGCATAACCTCTGTGTATTTCCTTTGGTTAAATGGATTGCCAAATGTTATATTATCTCGAACGGTAGCCTGTTGTATCCAAGGTTCTTGACCCACAAGAGCAAAGCCATTTTCAAGGTTAGACACAGAGATTTCGCCTTCTTTCCGAGCCATCTCGGCAAGTATAGCGTTCAGTAAGGAACTTTTACCAGAACCAACCTTGCCAATCACTCCTATGAACTGTCCCTATCCAATGAACAATGCCAATCAAATTATGTACAGTCTTTGTTAGGACAATAAAGAATTCCCATGACGTAAAACGTACAGCAAAAAAGACACTCAACTTGTTGGTGATTCTTTTCGTAATTCTCAAGACATTTTACAAGCAAATATACAGTAGTAACTCGTAACACTTTTACAATATACACATGCAATACATAAGGAAGTCAAAAACATTTAAAATACAGAGCTTGTTGTCCTTATAATCAGTCATCAAAAATATCAAAATAAGAACAAAGATTACAATGAACAGAAAAAATGTCGGGATACATTGCTCACCTTTGATATCCGGAAATTAATGTCTCGCAGAGTGAGTGTACCAGATTCACTGGTTGCCTCAAAGCGTTTGCCTGAATGTTCACTCTCATTTGCTTTCGGTTTCGTTTCGTCTTCCCATGTGAATTGTCCGGCATTTGCCGATATCACACTTTTGTTATTCCTGGATGCTACATTAGAATAATTGAAAACAAATAAGATCCGTACATGTTTTCTGGCTGATGTTCTTGATATTGCAATACTTCAATATTCAGTCACTTTATTTGTCAAAGGTTCATCCGTTATGCGACCACGAGACGTACATCAAAGGATCAAACTAGTCTTTTCGACTTGTCCAAGAGGTGTCGTATATGGAACCTACAATTTTGCCATGACATGTTCCAGGGATGCAGAGAGCAAAAGTGATTGTCAAAAGTTGTGATTTCATCTTCTTTAAATACAAATACACTTTTCTTTTAAAAGTACAGAAAAAGTACGTAAAAGAAAATCATATTTACCATGTTTATGCTGGTAATATTCGGAGAAATCAATATCTTCTAACGCTACAAATCTCTCGAGCCTTTCAAGGGAAATCACTGCCTGCATTACTGTATTAAAATGCCAAGGGAGGTCATTCAGGGATCCAAATAGTTTTAAAAATAGCGACAGACTGGTAAACAACTGTAATATAATTACATGTATACTTTAAAAATGGATAGCCGACGTGTATAGTAGCAATATGAAATAGATGCGGAGATCAACAGAATATTTTCTTTTTTTTTCAGTTTAAAGATGATAATCTCTTACTTATGTGCAGCCATTATGCACATCGACATGAATCTCGTGCTCATGCGAAATATTCGTTTTCCATATTTACTACACATTGAAACACTGTGTCCTAATTAATTGAATTCAATTCATTATATTCTTTTTTTATATTCATGATTGATATGAAAACTATCCAAACGATAATAAGAACGATGTATTTTGTCTGTGAAGATTATAGCAGGTGCCTATTAATATCTTACCTGATTTTAAGTTGCAGTACAGGGCACACTGTAATCATTTCTGGATCAATTTGTTTTTAAGTATGCTTCACTAAATGGAAAGTTTTAAGTCCAATGGAAAACATGGTTTATATAGTGCCCTTTTATCAGAAGAAATATTTTGTTTTAGATTTTAAAAAAGGCATGTTGATTTTCTTGTTATCAATATCCGCAATTGTGTCTACACTTTCATAATTATGACTTTATCATTACCTTAGCTGCTGTCAGCACATTTCCCATTAGAGAATATATGCTGAAGGTCAGAGCGGTCATCAAGATAGGTGATGATAACAATAGGAAAGATCCGACGGCGGAAATCATCTTCCTCTTCCTGATAGTACGTAACTCCGCATCACGAAGCTTGTCAATCACTACCTTGAAGTGGTCTTCCCAAGTGTAAAGTTTGATTGTCTTTATTCCTCCTATCAACTCGCTCATTATCTGAGGAAGGCAATGGAATATGACTAAACCCTTTTCTCTCTTGCGCTTACTCCCAAGGTAGCAATTTTTCATTCCAACATACATGTTATACCACTATAATAATAATTATTATAATATAACATTCTAACGTGTCTTGAATTCATGATAGAACTTTTAATGAAAGAGCGCTTCATCCACTCACGATAATTAGATCGCGTAATAAGAAGTTTACGATTCATTTTGTAGATTTTTATTTAAAAATTTGTATTTCTATCCTGTTTTGCTTTTGAAGATAACAAACCAATTTATTTCTAGTTATAATATCTTATGAATTCGTCAATTTTCTATATTAATTGGCGGCATTTTCTTAAAAGGTCATATCATCACGCCCAACAAATGGGGTAAAAAATGCACATATAGAACAGGTAAATTCAATTTCAGAATAGTTAAATTTTTATTATGGTAGAATACGAATTGTAACGTCATGATACCTACCTTTGTTCTCTTGTCTTTTTGTGTCATTAACTCTTTGCCTAGTGCAATCTGTTTCGTTGACATGACCTTGTTAATTGGGATAAGTATCAAAGCAACAACCAGTCCTCCCAAAAAAGCAAGCCCTACCAGTTGATACAGGATATACATACTTAAAATTGTTTCAATCGGAAGACTCCACAGAGCATGGAAACACGAAAGCATTTGTAATATTCGATTCGTATCAGTTCCGAGAAAATTGACGATCTCACCTGTGCTGAATTTCGATAGAGACACGGTATTGATCTGTAAGGCTTTCTTAAAGATAGTTGTCATTATAGAAATTCTAACTTTTAATATGACATGCACCCGAACAAAGTGAAATCTACAGTCCACAAGAGTTTTTCCAAAACACGACAAGAATAATAGAAATGAATAACGATATCCGACATAGGCCGGTTCATCGTCATTTTCGAAAAAGGATATCAAGGAATTTAGTGTTATTGGACCAGTAAAGTCGATAAGGTGAGCAAGCAACTCTAGCGAACCACAAAGAAGGAAAAAGTGTAGCCCATATGCTTTGTATAGGCCCTGAAGTAAAGTAGGCTTTTTTACTTCCCCGTGCGCATTGCTTTCCTCAGCACCTTTGAGAGTTTTACAGAATTGTTGATGAACTTTCCTAATGTTGAGACTGTTCGGCAGGGTGAACAAGTCCTTTGTTGATAAACTGACCGTGCTGCTTCCTCTCTCCAGAAGATGTTCTACCCAGCTATATGTTAACATTGATAACAGAGATACCTCGTCTTCATTTAAGGGGTAATCGTCTACACCATCGTTATCCCGTTGACGTTTATTTGAGATTTGAGATTTCTTTCCGTTGTCACTGACGCCTTGTTTTCCCCTGAAAGTTTTACATGTGAGGAAATACACGACGAACATACTAATGACTGCTAACGTGACATTCAGTACTGATAATGTTAAACCGCCAATTGTCACCTTTGTGAAAATGCCTTGAAAAATCATGTATTCGCTGTTTTTTAAACAAAGTGTTGCATTTTCTTGGACAATTGATCGGTGATTTTCCATCGTGATGCTTTCCATATCTGAAAAAAATATACAGACAGGATTTATCTGATGATGAATGACCAAGGTAAACACATACGCCGAAAATTTAATACAGTGTTAGATGTAATGTTACCATTACTTTACAGATAGGGTATAATCAGATCATATGTAGGTTGAAGGTAAAACTGAAGATCAAAGGTCACTGTAGTTAGTTTAAAAATATCTCTTACGACATCGTAATATAATGATAATGTATCAAGATAGCCCAAGTTGATGATAAGATTTTATTTAGTTTGGAGATGTAAATGCTGACAACAATTTGATATATTGTTTTATCCATTGCCAAAATAAATATCAGATTACAAATTGAACGTAAATATTAATGTTGATATATTTGTTCCCACATTCTATATAGTAATGATTTTTTATAAACATAAACGTGAAAAATGTTCTATATTTACATGATTTAAAGATGTTTGCATTATTAATCAAGTATTCTCCCTCAAAATGGTATCAATTACACAAATATATGAATAAAAGTACAACCATGACTTACAATCGATTGCTGATTAATCAGTGTGCTATATAATATCTACGTATCTTGTTACTAATATTAAAATCAATTTCTTCAGTACAGTATCACTATATCTTAAGCACACCAGAGTGTCCTTTCCTCTCTTTTTGTTTTCATATCTATAGTGTTAGTATTGTTTGAAACAAAAGTTATTCGTAGAAGGTTTAAAGGGTCTTTTCTGGACTGAACGTTTATAACCTTACCAAATATTTTTTATAGTTTTTCACCTTTATGTTTTAATCTTCAACACAAAAATATAAAAATGAGTATTTTAGAGAAAGTATTTACCAGAGCTTAGAACATGTATTTTCTTAATTCTATCAAAATGATTGGAGTGGATATTGTACATACCATTAAAAGTTTGAAAATGAAAATATAGTCAAATGTCGAGCCATATACTAGATAGTGTAGATATTTTATTCTTTATATTAGTAATGATGTCGGTAATTAAATGATCTATTCATTAAAGTGATTAATGTAGATAACATTATGATTTGTTTTTTTCATACGTTTTGTTATTTTACAACAATTTTGAAAGAAGATATTAGCTTACATAGATTACCCTTCATGGCGCAAGTGAAAGTTCGCGAGGGGACTTCTTGTAGGAGGGAATAGGTGTACTCGGGAGAAACCCGTGTGAATGCGCAACGTGTTTTTACTTCCGATCGGGAATCAACCTCAGGTCACCGAAGTGAAAGGCGACGGTAATTTGACAATGGAAACCCGATCGACCACACGTTTAGTTTCAAAAAGATGATAACATATTTTGTGAATATTTAAACTTACTATTTATGAAAAAAAAACACTCAAAAGCCACTAAAACAAATTTCGGATTTGTTTTTATCTCTTAATGATAAGGGACACATGATATGATCTTAATCAATGCATTTAATATGTAGTTTATTGTATTTACCTATGTGAACCCAATATTCCAGATGTGTCGATTCATTAAAATTCCACAATCATTGGACATTCAACAGCAGCTTCTTTCATTTAAACACTGCAACTCTATTACGTTTTAATCGGGTTGAAAACATCTGTAGAGGAATCAGTGCACATATGAAGGGTGATGTAACGTAACCTTACCAAGGATCGGTTACTGTTCCCTCCTTACACCACACGTTCACACCGCCGGTGTAGTTAAACTTAACCGGTTTGTGAATGTGATTCGATCACTGTAACTGTAGCAGTATATATAAACTTATATCACGTGACCGGTGAGTGTATGTGTAACATATTACAACTGATGGTGAAATACACGGCTGGCTCAGGTTTACTATGCCAGTAGATTGAGTTGTCTGATACACAATCTGTGGACAAGGATATGACACAGTTTTCAGTGGATGACGATTGGTATACAATACAAATTCATGTCCTAGCAATATTTAATGTATCTGTATATTAATATATTAATACTGAGAACCATTGGAAACATCGGAGGTCATCTTATCACAAATATAACAAGATCAATTTATTAAAACATTTTGGTATTTATATGGTAATAACAGCTGATATAATTGCATACACCCCTGATGTCAACGATGGATCCCACTAAAAGGTAATTGAACGGGAGCATTGTGTAACCATTCATGATTTGTATGTTTAGGTGAACAGGGCTTGCTGCTTGACAAGGTTATTTCCAAAAGTTACGAACAATTGAAATGATCGTAATCAAGATTTTTTATCAAAATAGATAGATACTTATTGTTTAAAGAATAGTTAACGTAATGTAAACAAAAAATGAATATAATTTATTAGAAAACATTTCCTCCAGAAGTTAAACTGTGTCAAACATTTAATAATAACTTTTGTGGAGCTGTAGACTTTTAATTCCTTAAGTCATAAGTGTTTTATATGTATATGTACACAAGGTTTATGCTTAATTAATACGTCAATACCTGGATGAAGATCTCGAAAACGCTTGGCATGAGCAATGAAATTTGCAGTTAATATTATCGCACTCAAGAACATTATGACATGGATTACAAATAATAATCGTCTAATTATATTCTTCCGAAGTCATTTTAAAGAGTTAAAATGTTTTTGTTTTATTCCTGGTCATAGAATGCTTATCACGTTCGAAATGAAATACTTAAAAAAATATTAGAAGTAAATATTTTTATCTCAAAAGATCATTTTATTGCAAAGTCCTTCTAGAATGCAGAAAATGTGCAATATACGGAAATGTAAGAAGACTAGATTGTACAAACATCGGAATCTCTTTATGTACATAGCAATGCAGTATATCTCTGTATATCAGGATTACACATCACTGAATATAAAGGTATGACAAATGCAATAACAAGAATGACATCGATTTGGAAATTGTGTTTTATGGGAATGGAGTGCAAGTACTGAAAATGTAAATTTCAATACAAATTTAAGAAAACCGTTAAGCAAACAAAACAACACCGGAAATTAATGGGAATCATACAGGCTTAACATACGTCCCACCATTGACAAAGTAAGTAACAATTGACATTTAATATATGGCCTACAGATTAGATTTTTTGATTGATAAATGATTGAGAATGTTAATCGACCACGTCTTTCCTGTTCTCTCTCGAGTTTGTTAGAGATTAACTAATATGATATAACCGAAAATCATTGACTTTTTCAATAAATAACTTATATAGCTATATATCAGTAAATATCAATACCGTGTTTCATTTACTATTGATTCATGTTCAATTTGCTCAGTCGCTGTCTGATGAAATAACGAAATATAGAGTCATTAATGGAAAATGTTTGAATATGTGCCACACTCTTTATTATCAATCATATTTATACTACATGTTAATACATGCACACATAATGTACAAGTTACGTTCTATGCAAATTATATGCGTGCTGGAATATCCCGCACTATTTGTAATCATAAATGTGGCATTCCTTGATTGTCATATGTAATTGAGATACGATTATTCATCCACAGTAAGAATATAATAGGAATCGATTAATACTTATTCATGTATATTGAAGAGGAAGCGGAAGTCCGAGCAAGTATTGGACGTTTAAACTCCGGAAATGTAATGTTAAGTCGTGTGATTATTTAGATTTGTTTTGGACCACTGCTACGAATGTAATATTTTACTAAATTTCTCATTTTGTCAGGAATTTTGGGGATTAATCGAAAATGAGCACATACTGTATATTGGGATATTTTTTCGCCAGAGGTTATTTTCTCCCTTGTTACATAATATACGAATTCGCCCTCTGATTATTATGTAAAAAGCTTATATAAGTGTAACAAATGTTCGCCGCTATCTTAAATTCATTCTCCCTGTTCATGGACGAAAAATATGAAAATTAAACGGGGTCGGAAACTTCCCGGTATACAGTATATTGTTTCCCCCTAAGTGTATAAGCATTGCATAATTTGAATTGTGATACTGCCTCTGATGATAAAAAAAGAATCGTGTGTTGATTTCCTAGACTGACCGGAGGAGTTATCTCCCTTCATCGAATCGTATTAATGAAATAAATATTTCAGTTGAAATACTTCTATATTACTTTTTATAGTTTTTGATTGTCAGATGTAGAAATTTGTATTTTTGTTAGCTACAATATCTGCCGAAATTTCCGTAAACACGATTACGGAGGAATTGTATTGCAATCATTTTCGTTCGTTGTAAAGATTAAATCAATTCTATGTAAAGACAATATTTGAGGTATATTAGTTTGGGTTCTACAGGAAAAAATAATCGTATTATAGATTGTTTGAGAGCTTATCATGTGTTTATATGTCATATTTAGTAACACTCCTAGCGCCCACGGCCTATGAAATAGGATTTGTTTTTCTCACAACTGGCTCAGACTTCAAAGTATTTCGAATCAATGTGTCCATACTTTACACTTTGATTTAGCCACATGCTAGACGGTTAGCTGAAGAACTGTAATTTTTTTATAATATATATGTTACATGTTTTACATAGGTTTATTTTATCCTTTATTGAAATAGCTCAACGGAATGCTAATTTTCACATTTAACACAATATCATTTATAGAAATAGAAAATTAATACAAAACGTAATATTGGATCCGATTTCACGATTTCTTCCGGAAAGCGATTTCAATACGTATTTAATATTAATATGTCTTTTTTCTCACCAGAAAATTTAATTAGAAATAAGATCATTACCAGTATTGGTACGACGCTATTACAAATGCAAATTACTGACAACAAACACTATAATATATACATATTTAATATAAATACCAAAATAATCAGCGAACGCTTCGGAACAGCGATACGAGCGCTCAAGTATTGTTAATCGAGAAAAAACCCTTTTATATATCTAAAAGACTAATCAATAAGCAGTCCTGATATTTGAACCCTCAATCAAGTGATATGTCTGGTCGAACTGAAGCATGTGCATACTGTTTATGGCAGCAATATCAATACGCCAACTTAATGACACGTCCCTTGTAATGTGTACTACTACTA